CAGGATAAGGGGAGGGAATATGTGGGATGTAACTGTGATGTGATTGGTTGTTTTGTAACGCCTGTGGGCTGTACTATGTTTGTGGATTGGGAATAAAAGAGACTGTATGTGACAGTACAGGAAGTTCCTGCTTAACCCTCAAAGTGAAGTGTCGTCTCATTATTGGGGGAAGGATTTATTGTATGCTGTTCCAGTTTGACTGCTAGGAGAGTAAACCTATTCGTATGGTTCCTATTCAACTGTCTACAGCATTCATATGCTTGAGAGGATTCATATGCTTCTCTGGTTCGGTGGTTGTGGTGTCTGCTGCAGTGCTTGGAGTCCTCAGGAAGCGCTAGGAGCATCCTTCAACGGAGGTACCAGTCGGGGTGCCAGGTATCCGTTACATTGGTGGCAAGCGGTGGGATGGCGTCCTAGTGCGAGGTACAGCAGCTCAGAGACACCGTTCGTGGAGTTACAAATTGAGGGCAACGCTAGCACACGTGCAGCGACCCTGGGAGCAGAGGTATCCAGCGACTTGGAGCAGACAAGTATGGAAGGCTCTGGCGATGATTGGATGGCCGAGGTGAGGCAGCGAGTGGCCCAGTATGGGGATGATTTACCCATGGAGGTACGCCGGGTAATCTGGAACCAGGTCACGGCCGAGCGAAACACAAGGCTGGCCCGAGAATTCCGGCTGGCGAAAGAGAGAGAGTATGCTCAGCGGAAGGAGTGTTACAGCAGCCGAGTAGAGGCTGCATCCGAGGAGGCTAGCCGTCTCCCCTGAGGCGGCCGCAGGAACCCGAAGTAGGGGTCCTCATAGACTGGTCCTGTGAGGAACCACAACAGGCAGGTGGAGATGGGACCGGCCCAGATCCCCAGCAGCAGCCGGAGTGCCAGGTGCGGAAGCAGGTGGTCCTTACTCGCAAATGTTGAGGGACCTCACAGACTGGTCCTGGGAAGACCCACAGATGGCAGGTGGAGATGGGACGGCGGTCTCTCAACCGGCCCTACAGGGATGCTGGGCGGTCGGCCCAGATCTCCAGTGGCAGTATGTACCCCAGGGAGCTGAAGGTGCAGTCCTTCCTCCCCAGTGGCAGTGTGCACCCCAGGGAGCTGAAGGTGCAGTCCTTCCTCCCCAGCGGCAGTGTGTACCCCAGGGAGCTGAAGGTGCAGTCCTTCCTCCCCAGCGGCAGTGTGTACCCCAGGGAGCTGAAGGTGCCGTCCTTCCTCCCCAGCGGCAGAGTGTCCTGCAGGGAGCAGAGACCGTCAGTCTCGCACCCCAACCACAGGACAAAATAATGAAAGGGGAGACAGCTGGTCCCCTTCTCCACCAGCAGAGAGAGTGTCAGGGAGAGGAGCCTGATACCCCCTCTCCCCAGCGGCAGTTTACAGTTCAGAGAGAGGAGCTTGTTACACCCTCTCTCCAGCGGCAGCCTAACCCAGCAAGGGGAGATGTTACACCCCCCAACAGTGCAGATGGGAACGTAGTCTCTGCACTTGCAGCACCAGGGGTAGGGACAGTCGGTCCTGTTCCCCAGCCACAGAGCGGTGTATCCAGAGGGGAGACAGTCGGTCTCTCCCTCCCACAACCAGGCTCCCACCAGGCTACTTCCGTGGTAGCACTGGCATCAGGGCAGAGTACCGCTGGTCTCTGCCCACTCAGCAACCCACCAAGGCAGCCTAACAGTTGCCCACACAGTCGTGGTGAGGCACCTGGACATGGACAAAGTTTTCCTCTACCCAGGTGTAGTAACCAGTTATTGTGGGTGGGCTGTACTGCTGTTTCTGTTTTGTGGGTGGGTTGCTGGACTAACCAGGGCACTGACCGGCAGGAGGTCAGATACCCTGTTAGTCTAGTTGGTAAAGGGGAGAAGTGTGGCGAAACCAACCTCGCCACTGTGAACTGGAGAAGCCTGGTTGCTCGCCTGCTCCCTTTGGACTATGGCCCTGCAGGTTAAACTGTTTATTTCCCCTGCAGAAAGGCTTATTTGTGTGATCTGAGTGCCATTCATCTAATAATGTGCACTCAGATCCCAGCTATCTGGGGATATGTGAAATGTCTGTGTGTTATGTGTAAAATGTGACTTTATGTATTTTAAAGTGTTTTGTGTCTTTTTGCAACCATGTGCTTAATGGAGTCTTGTGTCTGTCCTGGGAGATAATTGAATTACTTATCTCCAGGATAGAAGACTCTGAAACTGGTTTGGGCCAGAAAGCCATGCTTCATTTAGTCACAAAGAACTTTTTACTAACTTTTGAACCCCTTGTCTGATTTGTGCCATTTTTGAATATGTTGTTCCCCTGAATGGATTGATTGTGAATATGTAATTTTATGCGAATGTGATGTATGGTTTTGGAGTTATGAAAGTTGGGTAGAAAGTATGTTTTAACTGTATGTATAATTGAGTTTCCTCTCAGGATAAGGGGAGGGAATATGTGGGATGTAACTGTGATGTGATTGGTTGTTTTGTAACGCCCTGTGGGCTGTACTATGTTTGTAGATTGGGAATAAAAGAGACTGTATGTGACAGTACAGGAAGTTCCTGTTTTAACCCTCAAAGTGAAGTGTCGTCTCATTATTGGGGGAAGGATTTATTGTATGCTGTTCCAGTTTGACTGCTAGGAGAGTAAACCTATTCGTATGGTTCCTATTCAACTGTCTACAGCATTCATATGCTTGAGAGCATTTATATGCTCCTACGGTTCGGTGGTTTTGGTGTCTGCTGCAGTGCTTGGAGTCCTCAGGAAGCGCTAGGAGCATCCTTCAACGGAGGTACCCAGTCGGGGTGCCAGGTGATCCGTTACATACTGCAAGACCTGCAGAAAGATCTTTAAATGTGCCCAGCACTAAACTAGTCAAATCCATTGGGAGCTTAGTGAATGGACAGACAAATTAGAAACCAAATTATATGAAGTTGTCGATTCTCTAAACATGCTAGTGGATGAACAAAAAAGGTCTCACAGAAAAGTTCACTTGGAATGTAGAGTGACGGCCCTAGAAGACCGCTCGAGACGTAATAACGTAAGGATAAGGGAGATCCTTAATTCTGTTTTTAACGCTTAGATGGAAAGCTTTTTTTTAAAGAATATGCCTTGGAAATAATACCAACCCTGAATTCAAAATAATTTATTGTGGACAGAATTCATAGGCTATCTAAACTCTGCTCGGCCCCACACATGTATTAGCCTGTATCCACTTTTTTACACATAAATCTCACCTACATTTAATATGATCCTATTGTTTTATTATTTGTCTCCATTTAAAATGGACTGGACTTGCGCAAAGAAATGAGACAGATCACCCAAGCACTGTGAGAGCAGCAGATCATATAAAGTCTGGGTAAAAAATATTTGATCCCCTGTTGATTTTGAACATTTGCCCACTGACAAAGAAATGATCAGTCTATAATTTTAATGGTAGATGTATTTTAACAGTGAGAGACAGAATAACCAAAAAACCCAGAAAAAAAAGTTATAAATTGATTTGCATATCAATGAGTGAACAAGTATTTGACCCTTCCGACTTAGTACTTGGTGGCAAAACCCTTGTTGGCAATAAGAGAGGTCAGACATTTCTTTTAGTTGGCCAGCAGGTTTGCACACATCTCAGGAGGGATTTTGTCCCACTCCTCTTTGCAGATCCTCTCCAAGTTATTAAGGTTTGAAAGGTGACGTTTGGCAACTCGAACCTTCAGCTCCCTCCACAGATTTTCTATGGGAATAAGGTCTGGAGACTGGCAAGGCCACTCCAGGACCTTAACGTGCTTCTTCTTGAGTGACTCCTTTGTTGCCGTGGCTGTGTGTTTTGGGTTATTGCCATGCTGGAATACCCATCCATGACCCAATTCCAATGCCCTGCTGGAGGGAAGGAGGTTCTCAACCAAGATTTGACTGTACATGGCCCCGTCCATCGTCCCAAAACATCCCAAAACACCACCAAAGCATAATGTTTTCACCTCCATGTTTGAAGGTAGGGATGGTGTTCTTGGGATCATAGGCAGCATTCCTCCTCCTTCAAACACAGAGAGTTGAGTTGATGCCAAAGAGCTCCATTTTGGTCTCATCTGACCACAACACTTTCACCCAGTTCTCCTCTGAATCATTCAGATGTTCATTGTCAAACTTCAGACAGACCTGTACATGTTCTTTCTTGAGCAGGGGGACCTTGTGGACGCTGCAGGATTTCAGCCCTTCACGGCGTAGTGTGTTACCAATTGTTTTCTTGGTGACTATGGTCCCAGCTGCCTTGAGATCATTAACAAGATCCACCCATGTAGTTCTGGGCTGATTCCTCACCATTCTCATGATCATTGAAACTCTACAAGGTGCGATTTTGCATGGAGCACCCGACCGAGGGAGTTATTTTGTGTTTCTTCCATTTGCGAATAAAAGCACCAACTGTTGTCACCTTCTCACCAAGCTACTTGGCAATGGTATTGTAGCCCATTCCAGCCGTGTGTAGGTTTACATTCTTGTCCATGACATCCTTGGACAGCTCTTTGGTCTTGGCCATGGTGGAGAGTTTGGAATCTGATTGATTGATTTGGAATCTGATTGATTGGGTGAAAGTGTTGTGGACAGGTGTCTTTTATACAGGTAACAAGCTAAGATTAGGAGCACTCCCTTTAAGAGAGTGCTCCTAATTTCAGCATGTTACCTGTAAAAAAGATACCTGGAAGCAAGAAATCATGCTGATTGATAGGCGATCAAATACTTATTTCACTCATTGACATGCAAATCAATTTATAACTGTTTTGAAATGCATTTTTCTGGATTTTTTGTTTGTTATTCTGTCTTTCACTGTTAAAATACACCTACCATTAAAATTATAGACTGATAATTTCTTTGTTAGTGGGCAAACGTTCAAAATCAGCAGGGGATCAAACACATTTTTTCCTCACTGTACCGATGGGGATACCCTTATAAGTTGCTGGTAACACACAATAACTAGTGATGTCGCGAACTTTTCGCGAACGGTTCACCGCAGTTCGCCATGAAGCGTTCGCCACGGACTCCAGTCAGCAGACACATCCCGGCCAATCTGCAGCAGACCCTCCCACCTCCTGGACAGCATCCATTTTGAAGCTGCTTCAAAATGGATGCTGTCCAGGAGGTGGGAGGGTCTGCTGCAGATTGGCCGGGATGTGTCTGCTGACTGGAGTCCGTGGCGAACGGTTCGTGGCGAACCGTTCGCGAAAAGTTCGCGACATCACTAACAATGACACAAGACAGGTGATCTTCACATTGAAAGAAGGCTTTAAACTGCTGTAGCTTTGGGATATACCTATACCTTGAATATGGCATGTGTGAACAGAGAATGGTCAATGGTCTCTGCATTGCCGAGATCTTCTTGAGCTCCACCGTGAGAACTTTTGAAAAAATTCCAAAATACTGGATTCCTGTCAGTTTACTTCAACAAGAGAATAAATATGAATTCTTCCTAAAGCAATTACAATCCTATTATAGGGAGATTAACACCATAGATACCTCCTCTGGATACCTCCTCTGGTAATCTCTGGCTTGCCTATAAGCAGTTATCATGGTTACTTTATATCACATGCCTCTGCTATCATCAAAGCAAAGAGACTTAAATTAAATGAACAAAAATTCTAGCAACTCGCCTTTCAGAGAGGAGGCACACATCAGACGCCACAAGGCAATTAATTAACTTAATAGAGCTGGCTTCTCAGGGTAGGTTCAATCGCCATGCTTGCAGATGATATTCTGCTCCAGCACCATCATATGTCTCTGCCAGCTCTCCAGAAAACGCTAAACAGATATGGATGTATTTCTTACCACCAAGTTAAACAAAGCAAATATCAGGCCTTGTGCATAAATATAACTTTAGAAACAACTCTTAATTTGAGAACTAATTGGAGACTGAAATATATCAGTTAGTTAGGCATAGAACTCTATTCATATGTAGAGATCCCCCAGAAACATTTACACAAAATGTGGTCCCAGGCTAAAAAGGACATATCTAGATGGCAAGCATTTGAGATATAGTGGACAGGTAAATGTGCCTCATCTAACTAGATGTTGGTGCCAAAATTCTTATTTTTGTTTAGAACAATACCATAACCTTTTCCTTTTACACAGCTGAAAATAATTCAATTAGCACTTAATGCATACTAGAGACCTAGGGTTAGCATCTCAGTGTTATAAAGACACAGGTCCCAAGGAGGTTTTGAAACACCTAGTTTAATCAGATACCACCAGGCCACATCTCTCTCCCAAACTATACTGTTCTGCTAAGAGCCCTCGGTAGCACAATGGAGAGATATGGAAGATAGACAGGTATCCTCGGGAAGAGTGGTGCACTTGTTATGGACAAATAAATCAAGTCCTTCCCAAAGTACACTTTTCCAAACAACACTTCACTCCCTTTGAACTTGGAGCAGGCTGTCGAGGATACTCCCAGCATTAAAGTATATATCTAGAGCTGCCCCATTTAAACCCTACATCAGTGGATACCAGACTTAAACCTAACCTTAGGTCACTAAGAGTATCCTTACCGTGGGGCATCTTTAAAAAGGACAAGTCATGCTTACCTTTGCAGAGTTACAGTCAACACATAACTTAGCAGATCCAAAACTAGTTGTCATTTAGCACTAGTACTATTTAATTTGTCTCCCATGTTAGAATTAGTGTAGGACCCACCAATATTGTGGTACTGTGAAGTAGTTATGGGCTTAACACAATATAACTATATGGTGGAACTGAGTCCCCATATTTGTTTGCTGAGAAAGGTGATTTTAAGAAGCCCTTAAAGAATTTAATACTGTATTATTATTGGTGCGCTGTTTCTTAATCTGTATATTGTATCTGCATGCGTGTCGGTGTGTGTATCAGTGTTTATGTCTGTATCTGCATGTGTCAATGTTTGTATATGTGTGTGTCTGTATGAGCATGTGTGTCAGTGTGTGTATCTGTATCTATATGTGTGTCAGTGTTTATGTCTGTATCTGCATGTGTCAATGTTTGTATATGTGTGTGTCTGGATGAGCATGTGGAATAATATGCATCGGGCTGGTTTAAAAAAACAATACTATAAATTCTGAGTGAGTGCTGTTTTGGATTGTGAAATATGCAGCCTAACAACATATAGTTACATAGCTGAAAAAAAACTTGCGTCCATCAAGTTCAGCCTACCTCACATTTGTTTTTTGCTGTTGATCCAAAATAAGGCAGAAAAACCCAGTTTGAAGCACAATTTAGCAACAAGCTAGAAAAAAAAAAATCCTTCTTGACCCCAGAATGGCAGTCAGATTTATCCTTGGATCAAGCAGTTATTACCCTACATTGAAAGATTATATCCTTGAATATTCTGTTCTTGCAAGTATGCATCTAGTAGCCGTTTGAACATCTGTATGGACTCTGCATGTTATACAATTTTTATTAAATACATTAACTAGTTAGAATATTTTATTTTTAATCATTATCTTGCAACATAACTTCTTCATGTACAACAAATGCTAGAAAAGAAAAGTGGAGAATCAGATTTAATTATTGGATCCCTGAAAGGTAGATCTAAATAAGCAGCATTAGTGTCCATAACTGTAGTGATTGATGAAACTGCATCTAGATTGCAGGTAAAGGACAACCCACTCAACATGATGAACGAGTTTTGTCATAAAGGCCAAATCCTTCTAGAGAAGAGCAGGAGATATCTCAGGTACAAAGCAGCTCCAATGTGTCGAAATATTACTTTGGGCAAATGAGTATCTACAGGTCAGCAAAGCACAATGTGTGATATAATTCTACGACAGCTGGAGATCTATATTTTGACCTGCTGTTCAGTGTAGATGTCTGCAAAATACTGCCATCCTGTGGTGACCAGTGACAGTCCCAATAGATAATCAAATGTTTTAGGATTACAGAAACCCATTTCTAGTCATTTGTTTCATGTTGTGGATTTTATAATTACAAGGGAACAAAAACAGAACGGGGCTTTGAGCCCTTGAAATGATTAGAATTACCTACATGGAGTCTGAAAACACACTAACAGTATATAAATACTCCATACTTCCAAATGTAATACTTTAGGCTAGTGTAGCCAACATGCTTTTGGTGAACAAATTCTACGGACTAGACCTGGTGTAGATCTGCTGACTTGTTAAGAAACACAATACGTCTCTAGAACCGAAGGAAAAATAAACAATTTTATTGACAGAAGGATTTGCATTTTTATGAATAAAAAAATATCACTTGCATATGTTCTTTTATTCAAATCAGTTGATCATTTAGTAGAGAAAGGAGGCTTCAACTGCACTGACGTACAGCTACAATAATAACATGTAGAACAATATATACTATAAAGAATATAGCATATATAAGACTGAAGTGACTAATGACTAAGTGATTGAAAGCTCTTTGAACAAAATTATGGAACGTAACAGATTACAAGATGAATTTGTATTTCAAAACTGCCCCTAAAAGTGCTTGCAAACTTACTTTGATAATACTATTCCCTCTCATGCCCACCATCTCCCTGACAACAATTTTGCAATAATATCCCAAATGCCCATTTCTTTAAAAAAAAAAAAAAAATACAATGCCCCAGCTACCTGCGCTTTATCATCACCATAGCTACACCTACAGCTGAATCTACATCATTTCCGTATACCACGGGGAATGGAAATATCCTTTCTACTTCCTGCCTTAACACATCATTCCTTGCTAGAGCACTGCCACTTCCGATCAGTCTTGTCACCCCAGACTCCCGAAGCCGATGGGCAGAAAGCATAGTGTGCAAGTTTTCGATGATCCCTCTGCAAAGTGCTCTAGTCACATGGCCCAAGGAAAGCTCAGAGGCTGTGATGTTTGATACAGAAGCCAGTGCGTCAGGAATGTGTCTTTCACCAAACAGTATGGGGCAAACTGTAAGACCACTCTCACCATGAGACAAGGCCGCTTTTATCACCTGGGTATATAGGCTGGAATCGGAAATGTCAAGTCCTACAATAATGGGAAAAAAAAAAAGAAGACGACTGGTTACACACTTTCATTACATGGAACGAAATTCATGAAATATATCAAGAGAAGACTAGCAATATATCTAAAACAAAAAGGCGGTGTAGCCTGGTTATAGAATCAGGAGGAGCATATAAACATACTATCCCAGATCTCCGGGTCTTGCTCTGGTGTCATTGAATCACAGGCAATGGCAGTCAGCACATAAACACAGACTAGGACAGGGGTGTGACAGATATTGCAGATATCAATTGTTTAACAAGTTGTAGAAAAATCTAAATATAGGCAATGTTAGGATGCCTTAAATGTAACTGGTCATCTGATTTTGAAATCGACTCACTGTGAATAGCTCTGTAGATTACTTAGAGGTGGACATGTATAGCGCATTTTGCATCGTTCTAACACATTGTCAACAGAGGACATTTTATCTCTATTAGAAAGTGTGTAGGTAGGCTGTGTGAGTCTCAGGGAGCGTGGCTAGGGTTGCCTAGACTAAGTAATTGAAAGGGACACTATAGTCACCAGAACAACTATAGCTTAATGGCGTTGTTCTGGTGTCTACTGCCTATCCCTGCAGGCTTTTCAACTGTAAAAACAGCCTTTTCAGAGAAAAGGCAGTGTTTACATGGCTCCCTAGGTACACCTTCAGTAGCAGTAACTCAGACAGCCACTAGAGGCACTTCTTGGGTTAATGCTGGAAAACGTGCGGCACTGACTTTCAGCATTTCCACGCTCTGCATGGAGACACTAAACTTTCCTAATTAAGATGCATTAAATCAATGGAGATGCTGATTGGCCAGCACAGTGTTTGGCTCCGCCACCATAGGAAAGCATTGGATTGGCCAAGTTCGCCAATTCTGATGATCTCAACCAAAGGGCGGATTGGGGCAGGGCCAGCATTGGCAGACCCGCAAGGCACTGGAATAAAGGTAGTTTTTGAACTTCGTTAAGGGGGGCAAGATGTGGCCAACCACCTAAAAGGTGTTTTTAACACTATGAGGTCAGGAATACATGTTTTTGTGCCTGACCCTATAGTGTTCCTTTAACCTATAATGTTCCTTTAATTAGAAAAAAGTTGTTTTGGTGCATAGAGTTTCACTTTCAAAACACTGTATAAAACAGTTTAAAATCTTAATTAACCCCTTAAGGACACATGACGGAAATATTCCGTCATGATTCCCTTTTATTCCAGACGTTGTGTCCTTAAGTGGTTAAGTGAAATATTCTGTATATTCTATATATTTCATCAGAATAAGAATTAAATATTTTATTTTAAACATGTTTGCTGAATTGTTTTTCCAGAAACATTTTTGAAAACAAAAATCAGAATATATGCTACTGTTAAAACATACATATAAGTAGCTGTGTAGTTTAGTAACATTTTCTGATGAATACTTAGAATAGTCTTCCACGATAAAGCTGATACTTTTACAATACAGTAGTTATAAGTGTACTCAATGTTTTAATTGGTGTTGTGTGCATGTATTTGCTTATATAAACATATTTTGTATCTCACGCTCACGAGAAGCTGAGTGAAGCTACCAAAGAGATTAACTCCCATCAATCTGGAGCATGCCAGGACTCTTTCATTGCACAGTGTTGATCACACTATGTATTACTGTACTGACTTAATACACGTCACATTATCCAGGATCTAAAAATATGAACTGCTGTTAAAAGTAAAACCTGATCATGAAATACATACAGCTATGAATCTCTCTATATACTGTACACCACACACAGTTTAACCTCCTTTTCTTAGCCTCTCTAACTTACACTAATAGCTTCCACACTGATTTCTACTAATGAGTCCTTTTTTTCAGAAAAGCAAATGGAGCTGGAAAATTAAAAGGAGATAACACAATTAGATAAGTGCAGGCTCAACTCAAGGCATCTGTCATTTCCTGAAATCATTAGCTGATGTGTTGCACAGACAACAACTATACTCTATTCGTCTCATTTTTTATGGTAAAATGCTTTCCCTTGGGCTTACTTGTTGCAGAGAAATTTGACTCTTAAAAACTGTGGATTTTTGTAAATCTCAATGCTTTTTTAGTTGTTTTTTTTTGTTTTGCCTTTTTTTTTTTTTAATTATGCACAGGTTTAAAATATTGACTGGAAGTACTCCTTATTTATTTAATTTTTTTTAAAGCTATAGGCTGTATCACCGGATACACTACAATTTCCAAATTAAATAACAGAGGCTTATGATCACATATGTAATTTAGCAGATGTACAGATTCCTCCTGCACTCCATTGGAGCTCTGTAATACACTGTGCTGTTAACCATTTGGCATTGAAAGATTAAAGGAACTCCCCAAACTCAATAAATACTAGAAATAGTTATATTAGATATAGTTCTAGGAAGCGGTCTTTGAAACTGTGCCTTTTAAATATTTTGTGAGAAAATATCAAGAACTGACAAAAACAGGAAGGATATTTATAGTTTTAACTTCTAGATCACATTCTCTATAGAAATAATAAATTAATTAATTAATTAAAAAAACACCTTTCTCTGATCTCTAAATATTATCTCTCTCTCTATTTATATATGGCTTTTTAATGGGCATTTGGTCCAGATGTCACCATAATGAATGATCCTCTCTTGCAGCTCACTTGTTTATTAGCAGTGATGGCTTAAAGGACCACTATAGTGCCAGGAAAACAAACTCGTTTTCCTGGCACTATAGTGTTAATAGGTCCCCCCCACCCTCATGGCCCCCCTCCCGCCGTGCTCTAGGGGGAGGCTGGGGATTCTCCTCCCTCTTCTGCCGAATGCACGTGCGCGGCAAGAGCCGAGCGCGCATTCAGTCAGTCCATAGGAAAGCATTCTCAATGCTTTCCTATGGACGCTGGCGTCTTCTCACTGTGAAAATCACCGTGAGAAGCGCGGAAGCGCCTATAGCGGCTGTCAGTGAGACAGCCACTAGAGGCTGGATTAACCCTATTATAAACATAGCAGTTTCTCTATGTTTACAGCAGGCAGGGTTAACCCTAGATGGACCTGGCACCAGACCACTTCATTAAGCTGAAGTGGTCTGGGTGCCTATGGTGGTCCTTTAACCAAGTATATTTTATTTTTATTTTCTTTAAAAACACAGGAATTTGGAGTGCTGGATAAGACAAACATCCCTGTGCTTGTCGTTATTGGAATCCATAGGGATTCTTACCTAGTTCAGAGACCCACTGAGACAACATTGCAACAAATGAAGCAAACACGTTTCCTCCATTCAGAGAGGCTGCCACAGCAAGGTAACGATCATTGAAGTATGGAAAGTACACCACTGCTTCTCCAGGGCTTGGATGGTCTTGTGGCTGGAAACCCTCCGGCATGGAAAATGTCAGCTGTGCGGATGTGCTGATATTAAGGACTTTCAAAAACATAGAGAATATAAGTTAAAGTGTGTTAAAAAAACAATTGGACAGCTGCTAAATATATGTATGAAAAGTGTTGCAAATTGACGGGCTTCTTTCAAACGGTGTGACATATTACTATGAGTGGGTAGCAGGGCATTTCTGGCACCATAACCACTACAGTGGGCTGTAGAGTTTACAATACTTGGAGTGTTCCTTTAAAACTAGCTATGCTAGAATGATTCCTGCACTTCTTGCTTCACAGATGAACTTAGGGAAAGCTACTTCATAGGTGATCTTGCTTAAAGCAAAAAAAAAAAAAAAAAAAAGTCCTTTAGATGTGAAACTTACATGTTAAAGGACCACTATAGGCACCCAGACCACTTCAGCTCAATGAAGTGGTCTGGATGCCAGGTCCCTCTAGTTTTAACCCTGCAGCTGTAAATGTTTACGCTGCAGGATTTATCCAGCCTCTAGTGGCTGTCTCCCTGATAGCCACTAGAGGTGCTTCCGCTATTTACACTGAGTAAATCGCACTTATTTGACGCTGGATGTCCTCACAGAGCCCAGCATCAAATAAGATTGAGTAATGCTTTCCTATGGGCGGGTTTGAATGCGCGCCCGCCTCTGGCCGTGCATGCGCATTCGGCTCCACTCGGGAGCTGTCGTCGATGGGGGAGGAGAGGTCACCAGCGTCAGGCTCGACTGAATTAAGGTTAATGTCTGAAGGGGTTTTAACCCCTTCAGTGCTGAGGGAGGGGGCACTCCAAGAGCCTATAGTGCCAGGAAAATGGGTTTGTTTCCCTGGCACCATAGGATCCCTCTAAGCATTTCCTGGATAACATGCCTTTTTGTGTCTGCATACGTTGAGCACAATTGTATACTTTATAGTCAGTAGGTTTCACAGTTCAATATTCTGGGAGCTTCAGAACCTCCAGTAGATAATTTATTTTATTGCACAATAATACAAAATATCCCTTTAAAAACAAATTGTAATAATTTTCAATACTTTTACGTTTATTGGAAAGATTTATGGCAAGTGATTTGACTTAATATTTTTATAAATATACCCATTACAATGGGCTAAACATATGATGCGTACCAGCATCAGTATCCTCAGTCATAGAAGAGTAAACAGAACACTGAAAGTCTCCCAGCGCAACTCCAACTTCAGTCCCTTGTGGAATGCCACACCAATCACAAGACAACTTTCCTGCTAAACATCCAGAATCCGCAATCTCGGGCAGCAAGGACACAGGAAAACCAGATGCTTCTAATCTAGAACATTGTTAAAATGTAGCCACTTGATTAAGGAATGCAAAAATAGAAGACAACAGCGTGAAAAAAGTCTGTGGATAAGCCCTGTCGTTTTAATGTAAATTATTAAACATTAGCTGATAGTCCCCCTAACTACATGATGGCAAATAGGCTCCTTGGAGTTTGTATATCACACATTCCCAGTGGAAGTCAAACATCACATACCCCTTTAGGTTAATGTGAATCGTATGAATCATAGCATTATATGGTGCCGTGTTTCATCTACTGGAGTTCTATGAGGGGAGAAGAGAAGACCAAGGGGCTACTGGAAACAAACTGTATTTGAGCTAGTATGTACTCACATGTCTGTATTCCAGGTTTTGGAACAGGTGTTAAAATATCCCCAGCTGGCAGCATTCTGAACAGACATTTTAGGCACTTCAAGTCCACATATCATGGAAACGACATAATCCTGGATGGTTCCAGCTGCATCATAGTTTTGAAGAAAATCTGACCTAAATCAAATGAGAAATACCATATCTACAATTTATGAGGAATCACATTTCCTCGACACATAGCATTTGATACCAGTTTGACTAGCACATAGCGTTAATCTTATTCCTAACTATTTATTTTGGTTTGTCCAGCCTACTATGCTATGCTACTGGTGCAGTGGCAAAAAGAAACTTTGGAGGAGAATGAAGCAATGTTCAGGTTATTTAATCTTTTCATTTATTCATTTGCTGGTAATTATTTTTCAGCACGATTCACGCAGAGGTTCTTTTGTCAGGAACTCAAATTATGCACATGGCTTTATCTTGGTAACCCATTCTTCCGTTGTAAAAAAGAATACAACAGCAGCACCGTCTACCCCAATATTATCAAAATCCCCTCGGATATTGAGAAGAGATGAATGTTTTTTGAATAAACACTAACTTTTGTAAACCACCTTCATTAGACTCTTCTCAGTGTCCAAGGGGTGTCTATCAAATTTGGGGGAACCAGGTGTTTGCTAGGCTCCAAACCGCCTCTCCCCCCAAAAAAGCCGATGACCCCTTCACTGACAGAGAGATCTGTCCACTAAGTAGCCTGACAGGGCACTACACTACCAATCTTTCTTTTTATAATGGGTAGAACCTGACTAATGTAAGATTAAAGAAAAAAGAATACTAATATACTTCTGCTCCCTCCACAATCTGTAATGGTCCGGAGCTAAAAGACCCTTTAGCCCTCACCCTTTCTCCACTCCCCCTTAGCAATGCCTATGGTGGAGGTAGTATTGCTATGGTAAATCATTTATTCTCAGGTAGTTGTTTGGAACCTGAGGAACATGAAATGTCTCTTTCCATCCACATTATCAAGTTTAGCGTGTCTCTTTAACCCCTTAAGGACACATGACATGTGTGACACGTCATGATTCCCTTTTATTCCAGAAGTTTGGTCCTTAAGGGGTTAAAATGAGTAAATACAATAATCAGTTTCCAAGCCTGGGTAGGTAGGTGGAAGCATGGAGAAAGGGATGGAGGGATAGAAATGCCTAATTACTTTTTAGTAATTAACAGAACGCTCCAAATTTAAAAATAAATGTGTTTATTTCTAACATTTTGGATGTTCCATTTTACAGAGTAGATTTAGGGCCTTCGAGATTTCAATTAAAATAAACTGAAGTGCTTTAGAGGACCAGAGTGCTACTTTAAATCAAGGAGATGTTTTTTAAGGTGTTTTCTTTTACACATATCAAGATATAATAGATAAAACCAACCTTTGCTTTACTTATTAAAACTTACTTTTACAATGGAGAATGATGAAAAATTGCTGCAAAGATGATATTGTGGCCACTTATACAGTATACACTGATCAGCCACAACAGTAAAAACACTGACAGGTAAAGTAATTGATATTAATTATTTTGTTACAAGGGGTGGGATTAGGCAGTAAGTGAATTGTCATGTTTTTGAATTTCATGAGTTGGGAAGCAGGAAAAAAGGGCAAGCAACTTTGACAAGTGCAAAATAGTGATGGCTAGACGACCTGGTCAGAGCAATCCTAAACAGGGTTGTTTTCAGTATGCAGTGGTTAGTACCTACCAAAAGTGGTGCAAGAAAAGACAACCTGTGAACCGGTGTCAGGGTCATGGACACCCAAGGCTCATTGATGCACATAGGGAGGAAAAGCAAGCCTGTCTGGTCCGATCACACAGAAGAGCTAGTGTAGCGCAAATTGCTGAAAAACTGGACATGATAGAAAAGTGTCAGAACACAAAGTGCTTCGCAGTTTGCGGTATAGCCAAAGACCGTGTCAGAGTGCCCATGCTGACCCCAGGCGCCTTCAATAGACATGAGAGTCAGAACTGGGTCTTGGCATTCGTGTTGATGTAACTTTGACTACTTAGACTACTTAGAGATTGTTGTAGACCACAGGATAATGCATCCTGCTAGACTGCAAAAATTGTTCAGGAATGGTTTGAGGAACATGGTAAAGAGTTCAAGGTGATGCCTTCGCCTCCAAATCTCAATCTGATTGAGCATCTGTGGAATATGCTGGTACAACAAATCTAATCCATGGAGGCCCCACCTAGCAACTTGCAGGACGTAAAGGATTCGCTGCTAATATCCTGGTGCCAGATACCACAGTACACTTTCAAAAGTCTTGTGGAGTCCATGCCTCGACGCATCATACCAGTTTGACTGCACGAGGAGAACTTACATGATATTATGTAAGTGGTTTTAATGTTGCGGCTAAGCAGTGTATGTTATAAAAGACTAATCATCTGGCAAATGACACAAAGAACAACGTGGTTACTGTACTGTTTTCCCATTAAAACTACATCTTTGATTTTATTCTATAATACTGTAGGCATAATCATCTTCCTTTGCTTATCCGACTTGCTATTCGAATTGAGAATGTTAACATGTAAGTCTTAAACGCATTTATGTATATGCAATACTGTATGTCAATTCAACACAAATTTTTACTAAAAAAATAAAAATATGTTTCTTCTCTGTAAGCTCTGCTCCCTGGAGGTTAGTTGCCTAGAAAATGAGTCTTTGCAATAAAAGCACAGTCTGCATGATGAAGTCTACGTTAACTCAGGATAATATTTTGAATAATTTATAATATTATAGATTCACTTGTTTGGAAGAATATTTCCACCTTTGGGATTTATTTACATAATATCTACTTTATGTTTCATGCACTCTCATGCCTTGAAGTGCATCTGACAAGACAAAAATACTGTGCAAATACTTAAATCAATGTCAAAGCCTTTTTAAAGTTGAAATGTGCCTGCATTAAAGCCACTAAGGGGTGACCTGGCCAGGTTGTTTTTGTAATATTCAGAAGAAGATTGGTGTTGTGACCCCCTCAATGGTCGCTGGTTGTTGCCTCTAAGAATATTTATTGCAAATGTAGTCTTCCTAAAATAGCAAGTTGGTGAATAGGTGACACAATATTATATAGCAGCAACAGCTACAAATATGGCATTTAGGGGCAGCTGCAGGGGTCAAAGCTGCCAAATCTAAGTGAAAAAGTTGCACCCTCAAAAAACATTCTTCTAGAGCAGTCTTCCCCAAACTCTGGCCCTCCAGATGTTGCTGAACTACAACTCCCATGATTCTATGAATGAAATAGAAAGGCTGAGAATCATGCGAGTTGTAGTTCAGCCACATCTGGAGGGCTGGAGTTTAGGGAAGCCTGTTCTAGAGTATTGTGACAAACGCTCCTCCCATGTACGTTTGCCATGGACACCTGGAAGATTGTAGAAGCCAGACTCCTGCCCACCGAATATGGTCCAGGACTTGGACACCATTTGGGAGTTACCATGCCCAGCTGTCAATAGTAGCTTTCCCCGGGTGCCCCTGGTTCGGCACTTTCTCTTTATGCGAATAGAACCAAACGCTGGCTCTCTGGCGACCGTTCGCATGAACCAAACCCACGAACAATCCCAGTGGTACTTAGCCGCAACCGATATGGAACTAAATTCGGCATGAGGACTTTGCGGGTTCCCGGTCACCTCAGCGGGACTTCGCCACAAATGTTATGGAACTGCTCGGGCCCGGAAAACTTGGTTTGCGGTTTTGAACCACTTTGAAATCCGCAAGGAGACTGCTTTTTGGAGGGAAGGTGCCTAAGACTAAGGGAAACAAATGCTACATAAGAGCCAGGTGGAGCACCCCGTATTGCAGCCCGCAGGAGCTCCCGGAAGTTGACCTGCAAAAGCACCAAATGCCTTGGAAACATTTTGGAAATAGGACCACGTGTGAGGCTGGTCAGAACTCTAACACGGTTGCGTTTCCCCTACACTGCATGGATCTGAGCGCTATTTGGAGAACTTGGGCACTCAGATCAGGGCTATTTAATGATGTATAATTTGTGTGTTTTTTTATGTTTTTATTATGTTTTTGGGGATTTTCTGTTCCTGGGAGATAATTAGCTTACCAGTCTTTAATGCAATTATCTCCCATGCCCAGAGATTACTGGTAAGGGCTAGTGGAGAAGACAATGGAGACCCCCTTGCTGGGATCTGTGTATAAAAAGGCTGTGTTTGGATGCATTAAACCAGTAGTACTCCCAGAACTATGTGTCGTCTAGTTACTGGGAGGGGAAGGGCTATAACCACTGCTTAGCACCTTGTTCCAGCTCGTGGAGAATTTGGCGGAGAAAGTCTTTGTAAGGACTAGAGCTCCCAGGACTGTGTGTTGTCCAGTCCCTGGGAAGGCATAGAGCTAGTCCCCTATCCTGTTCCAGGACGGAGAGGCTCCAGAGGACCACAGTCAAGCCATGGCGACTGGGGCAGAAGCACTTAGGTTTTCCCCTGTTCCAGCTAGGAAGCGGTCCTTGGCGGAGGTACCCAGCCAGGGTACAGGGAGCTCCACTACAAGTATATTTGCACTTTTAGTATCAATCAATTCAAGGAGGTGCAGCTGCATACCCTGTTGTTCCATCAATTTTATGGTTGGTTTGTTTAAGTAGATACTCCACATTAAGCAGATAATGTATTGCAGGAACTGTGCCAAAAAAAAAAAAGAGTCAGAAAACTGAAACCAAAAATAATCATGTAACAAATATATTTTGTGGACTCTCATCTTGGTTGCTGAAGAGTGAGTTGTAAGCCAATAGGTGATCTCCCATACATTCTGTGAGTATCAATGAGCATAAACAAAAGTGATTTCAAGCAGTACAGTACATTAACTGCAAATGTAGTCCCACTAAAAAAACTAGATGACAAAGTGAAACATTATTATATAGCAGTGACAGCTACAAATATTACATCCAAGTGCAGCTGCAGGGGTCGCAGACCTAAGTGAAAAAGTTGCATCCTCAAATCATCGTTCTAGAGCAGGGGTGCCCAAAAGGTAGATTCCCAGATGTTTTAAAACTACAGCCTCCATGATGCTTAGTCATTCTAGAAGTATGCAACGCACCATGGGAGTTGTAGTGCTACAATATCTGGGGATCTACCCTTTTGGACACCCCTATTCTAGAATATATTTGCACTCTTAGTATAAATCAATTCAAGTTGGAGCCGCTGCATACCCTGCTGTTCCATCCTTTTTATATTGCCACTTTAGAGATGTAGGGATCCATGCGATTTTTAATTCAGCACTGTGCATCAAATGTGTGCAAGGACACATTTGATGCCACAACTAAAGTCAATGCAAGCACTCCCATCAATATTGTATATGTCAATACTGGATATTTATAGCGCCTTTAAGAGGTCTTTTCCTGTAATGGAAACTGAAATTAGAAGTAAATTCCTCAACTTTAAAATGAATAAAATATATATTTTTATTGAAAATTATTTTCTTTTCTTTTTTTAAAAACCTTTTAGCATTTTAATGATTTTCTATACTATGTATTTATGTATGTTATCTCCAGCCTGCACTGTCCCTTTAATAAAGGTAATTATTCTAACCCACTTGTATTTTGTTATACAATATACTATTAATATCATTATTAAATATATACAAAACAGTAATTTTATTTGTTCATGTTAATTATGGCTGTTGATCACTTTCAAGCTGTGTTGCGGCAATCAATGACACAGTAGATGCTGTACACACAAAAAGGTCAGGGGCTGTGCATACTTTAAATATGTGTGTTATAAGCATCCCCTGGGGCCAGAGGAATGGACCAGCTGTAGATACTAATCTTTAAAATCAAGTGTTACCAAGGGACTAATAAAAGCCCTTATTATGCATAGATATGATACACAAGCATTTAATGGTTACAGTAACCTAGATCAATTTAATTTTGAACAAATGCAAATAAAAACATATATTCACATTAACCAATATTATATTTTGAAACAACACATGGGGCTTAGTATGGACAAATGCATTTTGCTTCCTCAAGAGGTATGCTAAAAATGTCGCCCATGTACAGATGAACTAGCATGCATAGTGCCAGCCATAGGACCAATTTAAAGGGATACTATAGGCAACAAAACAACTTTAGCTTAATAAGCAGTTTTATAGAATGTGACATAGAAACATAGAATGTGACAGCAGATAAGAACCATTCGGCCCATAAAGTCTGCCCATTTTAATGTACAGATCATGCATTCCACTCTAACTGCTCAATTATCTGCCATTTAGGAGTTAAATCCCTTTTATTTTTGTTTATGCATTCCAAGTGACACCTTCTCTGGCTGTGACTGACACTGCCTGCATGAAAAAATTATTTAAATTTCAAATAGATCTTAACTTACTTTAGTAGTTTTTATCTCCAGTTCTATCAGTTGAACTTTTTTTTCACACATGAGGCTCCTAAATGGTAAAGAATTGACCAGGGAGACTGTGGGGGCATGATCTATACACCAAAACTGCTTCAATAAGCTAAAGATGTTCTGGAACCTATAGTATCCTGTTAATTTTTTTTTTTTGTTGTTTTCTGCATTTTTAAGTGTTCCCTGGGCAATGCTAATGATCATACAGGAATAGCACCATTTAGAAGAATATCGTTTAGGAAAATACTAGCAAGGCAAGCAGTTTTAAGGATAAGTTCAGTCTGAAAACTCAAAAGTATATATTTATTCCAATCTGAAGTATAATACTATATATACAAGGTTATTCAATAAAGTGAGAATTACAAGTGAATTTCAAATTTAAGGTTAAAAATATCAAACTAGAAAAATTCAGCTATGGTTTCAGTTCAGCTAGTTCTGGCCTTAAATTTCAAATTCACTTGGAATTCTGACTTTAGGAATAACCCTGATAAAAAAGATACAATTGTAAAAAGTGAATCATGTGTAAGTGTGTCTTTTCTTATTTCACTGGTCTCACCTGTTCCTTAAATACCAGAAGATTGTTGCACACCCAAATCCTGTGGCCACGCTGAGATGTGACTGTGGTTTTGGTAAAGAAGACAAGAATTCTGTGCTACAACGTCCATCTTCCCAGGTAATAAGACCACTGACATCTTTAGCCTCGAAGGTTCTCACGTTTCCACTGTTTATCCAGTGGCACCCTTACAAAGGAAAAAAAAAAGCAAACATTTAAAATATTTTGCTTTGCATGCAGGGGCCCTCAGATTGTATTGCTGAAAACATTCAGATGATGTTGTTTATGCATGATAAAACCCCTAGAATAGATCATATAAGGGATTATAGGTAACTTTGCAGAGTCTTCTTGTTCACAGGACACTTATCTCAGAAATAACCACCATTTCATACTATTCATAAATTGGCACAACTCTGAGACCAGACTTCCAAAAGTCCAAGTATGTACTAAAATTAAATTTGAAAATGGAGATATAGTGAGTACGCACACATTGATTGATATTCTTGCATTCAGTAAATGATATTTACTGTGACCTGTGATATTTCACTTATTTTTAGCGCCACCCTTTTCTCTGTTTTTTGTTTGATTAAAATTAAATTGTCAAAATCGAGCAAACTCCTACAACTCAGGCTCGGATAGCATTGTGTAAACTGGGCTGCTAAACAGGCCTGCATAGATGGCAATTGGAACTCACCTATGTACGATGTGGGACAAGCAAAAGGTTTTTAATGAAAAGTGAATGTTAGGTGGGAGGGAGATTGCATGTTAAGACCAAATGTCATAATCATAGTCATAGTTTTTAACTTTTAGGCAGAACAAGTAGCTGGGAAGACTATTTTCATTTCTATACATCTCTCTTGGAAAGGAATGAGGGGGATAATGAGCTTTACTAAATAATCGTCAGCTGCACATTATGTATTAATAAAAGTAACAGCAACCAGTAAAACTGATAAAAGGATCAGGAGCTACAGTATATATCCATTTCGTAGCACTTACATTGTTTCTATAATCCCAATTAATTATTAACCACCAGGTTTGGGACTTTTTATGGATATTATAAATATTGGATGGATTGTATCTATTTGACCTGATTTGGTTTTTACCTTATTTTTCTGTTATTGACTTGTTAATATCTTATATCAGCTCCTGGTCTATTATTATCAGTTTTACTGATTGGTGTTACTCTTATTTTATTAGGTGGTTTTTATATGGTGACACCACGACTAGTTTCAGAGCGATATTTAGTAGAGACTTAATTTTTCCTTATTTTAGTCAGGACTTGTGAAATGCGTTTTTTTTATGTGGTTTTCCCTATAAGCTCTTTCTATTCCATTTATCATTTAGGAGTTACTAGGATCGACTATGCAAATAATGAATTGTTCCACTGTCCAGCTTATAGCTTATAGCAATTTTCTTAAAATGTATTTTTTTTCTCATTTAAATTTCATTGCCTTTTAATTAACTACATATAATGTGTTAAACCAGAAGGCCACTACCATTGTTTGCCTTTAACTGATACATTAATTTGGGACTACATAAAAGAGAAGAGAAAGAATAAGCAATTGAGTAGAATATATCAGTGATTTATAAATAATCTAAATAATGCACTTCAGAGTGTCTATAAACAGTAATAATTAATACTGCGGCATATCCCACTCACGATGTGAACTAATTATTTACATAATTACCTTTTTAAGGCCGCTTCATTCCTTAAACCTCTAATTCAAAATAACCCTTACATGCATTCAACTAGTGCACATAACAGTTACATAGTTACATAGCTGAAAAGAGACTTGCGTCCATCAAGTTCATCCTTCCTCACATGTTTTTGCTGTTGATCCAAAAGAAGGCAAAAAAAAAACTAGTCTGAAGCGCTTCCAATTTTGCAACAAACTAGGAAAAAAATCCTTCTTGACCCCAAAATAGCAGTCTGATATCTCTTTGGATCAAGCAGCTATTACCCCACTAATTAGAAATTATATCCCTGTGTGTTATGTTTTTGCAAGTATTTACCTAATTGCAACTTAAACATCTGTATTTGGTAGTGAAATACATACTCTGACAATTCCATCGCTTTAGATGTTAATCAGAAAATAATGCTTCAATCTTAATTCAATTTATACAGACTATAGATATTATACATAAACGAAAAAGTGATTTTGCATAGAATCTATGAAGTATATACTCTGTAGCTCATTGGGGGCTTCCATTAGTTTATCTTTATCTGTGGTATGTCTGGTTTGCGGACATGATCCAAGTTACAGCAGTATTCTGAGTGGACCATACTGCCACCAAGCAATCTGAAAACAGATATGATTAGCATTATCATAATTCCTTGTGGTGTCTTTATGAGCTCTATATTGCTTTCTGGGACCTTTTTGGTATACACAAGCCCATTCGCTCCATTACATTTTCTCACCTCACCATATATTGAGTGTGGAAACGAGAAGGTTATTTATCATCTACTGTTTAACACTAACCTCTCGTTTCCTGCTTATTAGGTGAGGGGATAGGAGGCCCCTGCTTACTAAAGGGGTCGTAATTTACTATAGTATTGCCTTAAGAGTTTCATGTGCCTGGAACAAATAATTACAGTGGGCCTAGTAAGCTTCACATACATCCGGCTTTGGGCGGACATGTTCTCCTTAATGAACATTTGGTCCTCTATCTGGCAGCCTGCTTAATTACACTATGATATGTCCAACCAAAAATGTTTTTGTGGGTTCCTGTGATAAGCCTCTACCACACAATTCATCCTACAAAACACTACATGGTACAATCCTTGGCAAATGAAGATTGGAACACTTGCTTGGCTGCTTCCTGTATTTAGGATCCACAAGGGTGTTAACATAAAGCTTGATTTTATTCAGAAGCCAAAATACAGATTTCACTGCTAGGAATACACATTGTAAATTAAACAAGAATAATTGTTAGAGGAATTGGACATCAGTCTACATCACGGAGTTCTAAACAACTGTCAATCATTAGACAAACAGGCTACGACTTCTATGGTAAGAGACTGTGCAGTAGAGGCTTACAGAGTGTCTTGCAATCTGTTCATAGGTCACTGTGATAAGGGTAGTTCATAAAGAAGAATCATCACAAACGTAATTAGCTTTAATGAATTATACGAGATTTTGTTATTTGCAATCACTGCAATTGTGCACAGCTCTTTTTAATAAAAATTCCAATATACAGTTGTTTACCCTTTACCAGCCAAAGGAATGCTTGCAAGTGACTATTCATTTCTCTGGCACTCATCCGGGGTCAAATTATTTCTTCCCAACTTAATTATTTTTAAGTAAATGTTTATTTTTAGAACATGCCCTTTTTTTTTTTTTTTTTAACTCAAAAGTAATTTTCCATTTTAATATACAGCCCTCCTCAAAATTATTTCATCTGGTAATCATAAGCCATGGCTACCAACATATTAATAATAGCAGACAGACGCAAGGACATTCCTTTAACGTTACACTCCTGACACCATCATCATTTCAGTTCCCTACAGTGGTTATGGTGCTTGGAATGCCCTGGTGCTCCCTCCAATGTAAGTAGTCAAACTGTGTAGTAAGCCCAGGTTTAGTGATCCACTCTGCCAATGAGCTAAAATTGCAATGGACTTTGCTCAGGACTCCCTTCTAGCACTCACTTACTGCAGAGAGGAGGCATGGAGATGCAACCGCAGACACTGGGTAAGAAGCGAAACCATTACCAATCCGTTTGACTATTTACATTGGGGGCAACGTGGAAGTCTGTTTAGGGCACAGTAGGTAATAGGGCTAGTAAAGGAAAACCGCTGCATGGGCTAGTAAAAGATCTCCCTTACTAGCCAGTGAATTAAAGAAAGAAAATGTGGAGAGTGTTCCGGCAGATGTAAGATGATCTGAGGCCCTGTTGTGAATGGGTATAGGGCCACTTGAAACTAAAGTTGCAGAGTCTAGCACAATGCCCCCAATGCCCTGGCAGGCTGTCCATGAGGCTGCTGGTTTGGGATCTTGTACAGAGATAGATATGAGCAGAACGGAGTTCCCTTTCTCTTCCTGTCTTGAGTGTTATATCTAAACAGGATAAGGGCAATAGGAATTATGGGTCAGGGGAAATGTAATTGGGACTCTTGGGCATGAGGTGATGCTGGGATTATGGAACAGGGGATGAATGTGACTATAGGACTGTGTGAGGGCACTGCTACATTAAAGGAGGACATGGAAATTATGATAATGAGCTTGGCTTTGGGGACATATTGTGATAGGAAGTAAGCTACAAGAAATTGTGTATTATTAGAGTGATATGGCAATGGTAAAATATAGCTGTGGTGATGAGACACCCTTTAAGTACCATAACCACTTCAGCTTATTGTAGTAGTTATGGTACTATCAAGTTGTGCCTGCCATCTTACTTCGAAATTCCCTGCGGTTTTCTCTCTTTTCTGCTAAATCGTCAGCAGCCAAAACATCTAAATGTCTAAACACATGTAAAGTCATTTTGAGACATATTACTTTGTGATTTTAAGAAATTCTTTTATACTAAAAATGCAAGTTCCTAAAAATACAAGGACAGATTGCTAAGGGTTATTTGGCAGTGGTAGTTTACTGAAATGTGAATTGTCAGAAATAGAAAAAGAACTTTAAAATGTTAGGCTAAAATATTCCACTTTTGTTTTGAAATTTAGCTAATGGGACCTAATTTAAATTTGTTCACAATACATTTCTCACAATTTACATTTTAAGGACAATCACTCATTTAATATTGTTCACTAAATAAAATAGGTTGTACATTCGTAGAAGGGTTTCCATAGAAACTGCGGTGTGCGATTATTTTGCTGTCAGCATGTTAATTCCACATACTGCTTGGCATCATTCCTCGTGTACCTACCAACAGTTAGTGCAATCTACAGCTATCTAGAAAAACATGGCTGAGGTGATAGCTCAACAATCTACTTTAAAAGGAACACTCCAAGTACTATAACTACTACAGCCTGTTGTAGTGGTTACAGTGCCCTCCTGCGAGAAAATAGTCAAACCATTTAAGAACTTCGACTAACCCTTGCGGGCGTGTCCAACTTCCACCAGGGTGTCCTTTGTCACTGCTGTACTCTTGCGTACAGCATTAAGATCTATGGAGAATCCAGTTAGACCTTATTTAGATAGAGCCAATTTGTTGTTGCAGCAGCCTTCACTGATAGCAGCTAGGGGGATTACTCTGCCCGGTGTCTAAGTGTCAAAGTAGTTTCTACTCTGTCTCAGTATGTCGCTTGACTGGACTGGAATTTCATTGAACGTTTCTATCTTTATGAAATACTATTTTTTCAGGGAGAGAGGGTGACAGGGACGATTTAACAAAATATATATGTATACATTTTTGGAGCATTGAGTTTCCCTTTAACAGACTCTGAACTTATAACCAATATTCTCTGAGCATATCTAGTCTGTCCTGGGGCACTATGCTGGGGCTGCTGGGGCTGCAGGATTCACTGTGAAGATCCTCTTCATGGAGGGTACAATCATGTCCATCAACTATCACTTTCAGCATACAGCAATATTATATCAGTGGTCTGTGCCAAAAGAGGCACGTTGTTCTATGTCCTGCAGTCTCAAAAATGAGGATTATAGGATGCCTCCCTGCCAGTGCAATTTAATTTCTGAATTCTGAGACATACAAGAAAATGTGCCCTGCTGTGGATCACTTTGCAACACAACAAATCCTGAAAACCAATTTGTTTTATTAGAATGAAGGTTACATGAATTTCAGTTAAAGACTAGGTCTAACGCTCAAGAGAAAGCACGTTAGAGTTTTCCTGATAATGTTAAATAGGAACATATGAGCGCACAGACTTGAATGACTGTTCTCCTTTAGGAGGAACGAAGTAAAAAGTTCAGTGTTTTCAATATTTCAGTCTTTGTGTGGGTTACAATGTTGTGGCAGCTTCAAAACTTTATTTATACTTGGTGGCATTGAAAAAAGCGTATATAGATGTTGGATAGGATACTTTCTGTTAAGACCAGTGGTAATCAACCTGGACCCTACCGCCCACTAGTGAGTGTTTCAAGCTTTTGAAGTGGGAGGTGGTGAGTTTCATCCACGACAGCACAACCACATACGCCGCGTGCACCCCTCACTCTGGCCATGGAGAGACACCTCACAAAAACGCCCAAGATGTATTGTGTGAACACCTCTGTTTGCTAAATCTCTTTTGATGGTTAAAATGGAGCACGTGGCTGCATTCCAGATGGGGGACGGACAGTGGATTGATGATGTAACACACTGGGAGAGGAGGGGAGCTAATGCACTCAATGTGAATGGAGGGATAGTTAGAAGTGTGGCATTTACAGAAGCAAATCTAAGCAATCTAAGTTCTGTTATATTGTGAATACAAATACAAAAAAAACAAGTCCTACCCTCACTCCCATCACTCCTGGGAGGCAGCAACGACCACAGTACACATCAGCCCCAATACATCCAGTAAAAACCAAAGAAAAAGTTACCTGTGCTCTCTCCTGAATCCCTATTGTTATATTTAAACAAATGGAGATCACTTTATTTACTGCGTTGGCAGGCGGTCATTCCCTCCAATGGCCACTGGAGTAACTAAATAACCTCCATTAAATATACATAGGGATTTAAGAGAAAGTGCAGGTAACTTTCTTTGTTTTTTTTTTTTCTGTTATATTGTGTTTACTTAAAAGACCACTATAGTGCCAGGAAAACACATACTCGTTTTCCTGGCACTATAGTGCCCTGAAACTGCTATGTTTATGAAAAAATGGGTTAATCCTAGCTGGACCAGGCACCCATACCACTTCATTAAGCTGAAGTGGTCTGGGTGCCTAGAGTGGTCCTTTAACATAGGAAAATAAGTAAAGGAAGGAGAAAATATAGCGAAAGGAAAAAGAACCCGATATATAAATTTACCTTTTTATTGTTTTATTTTTTGTTGTTGGCTAATATTAATGTGGGATACCTAGGTCAGCCTTCCTGTTGGTGATTGCAATAAGGAAGGAGATAAGAAAGAAAAACAAGAAAAAAAAAAGTATTGTTTTTATTGTTTTCTTTTACTTTCATTTTACTTCAATTTAAGCAGCTCCTGCGCTAGTGGTCATTGCATCGATGGAGATGCGGAAATACGTTAAATATAAATGATATATGTATAAACTAGAAATAAAAAGATTTCAGTATTTATTTTTTAACCTTTCAAAAAAAAATATTTCACACTTGTGCTAAAAAAAATTGAGTTATAGCAGCACCGGTGGGCAGTAAGAAAATTTTAGCATCAAAAGAGATACATAAGTGGACGGTAGGTATTAAAAACATGGACTACCCCTGCTCTAGACAAATGGACACTATCTACAGGGGATTAAACAAAATACAAACCAAACAATGATATTTGATTACAATAAGGGAAATGGATATATCAAGTCACACAAATTAAAATGTAATTTATTTTTTTTTCAGATCTTTTTATTAATCTTTTATCAAAAACAATGTAGATTTCAAAACAAAAACAACATTAAATATGATTAATATGAATAAACCAACAAACAGCCAATTAAATATATACAAAAAAAAATAAATAAAAAAAAATCAGGTTGAGGGAAGAATTAACATTGCGAATTAACATATGTATCTGACATATTGCTGTTAAAGGGAAACTCCAGTGCCAGGAAAACAATCCGTTTTCCTGGCACTGCAGGGTCCCCTCTCCCTCCCACCTCACAATCCCCGGTTGCTGAAGGGGTGAAAACCCCTTCAGTTACTTACCAAAGGCAGCCGCTCCTCTGCATTATGTTGGCTGGTGGGCGAGACTGATCCCGCCCACCGGCCAGGGAGACGCATGCGCATTAGCGCTCCCCATAGGAAAGCATTGAAAATGCTTTCCTATGAGGAATTGAGCGATGCTGGAGGTCCTCACACAGCGTGAGGACGTCCAGTGACGCTCTAGCACGGGTTTTCTGTGCTATGAAGCAGGAAGTGCCCTCTAGAGTTAACCCTGCAAGGTAGTTATTGCAGTTTATAAAAAACTGCAATAATTACACTTGCAGGGTTAAAGGACCACTATAGTGCCAGGAAAACAAACTCATTTTCCTGGCACTATAGTGCCCTTGAGTGTCCCACTCTTGTGGCGCTGAAGGGGGAGGAAGGGGTTAATCCCTTACCTTTTTTCCAGCGCCGGGCTCCCTCGGCGCTGGGACTCTCCCCCCTCTTCTGACGTCCTTGGCTGAATGCGCATGCGCGGCAAGACCCGCGCTCGCGTGCGCACACATTCAGCCAGTCCATAGGAAAGCATTCTCAATGCTTTCCTATGGACGCTGGCATCTTCTCACTGTAAAAATCACAGTGAGAAGCGCCTCTAGCGGATGTCAATGAGACAGCACTAAAGGTTTGATTAACCCATAGGTAAACATAGCAGTTTCCCTGAAACTGCTATGTTTACAGCAAAAAGGGTTAAACCTAGCTGGACCTGTCACCCAGACCACTTCATTAAGCTGAAGTGGTCTCTGTGCCTATAGTGGTCCTTTAAGGGTAGTGGGAGTTGGCACCCAGACCACTCCAATGGGCAGAAGTGGTCTAGGTGCCTACAGTGTCCCTTTAAACCTTTTTGCACTGGTTGTCATTCTCTACAGGGTTGCCAAAATAAAGTGTGCAACCAGATATCACCAAAACTTGGCTCACTGCAGCAAGGATTTTTTTTTTTTATTAATTTTTTTTTTATATTCCAAACAAATCTGCATTCTATCTAAAATAGAATAAAAATCCCCACTCTTTACACAATGCATTACAGCAAGCTAAACTGCTTTGTGGTTCCAGAGTTTCCCTTTAAGTAGATTTCAGGTAACAAATCATATGGTGTTCGTGTAAAATATAGGGACTGAATGGTGTGAATTCACCACTTAAATCAGTATTTTATAATTTACTATCCTCTCCAGAATAATAACACTGGTGATTTATCACAATTCTCACTTCAATTTTACATCTTGAAAGGTAACACTTACTTTGGTTTTGGTTTATTAACTTCTACCTTACATACTGACTATAAACTAAAGGGGTAATGATGTGGTGGGTGCCATGTCCCTGCAGTATAAAATAATGCAGGGTTTAAATGCTTCTAGTGAATGTCACTCCAACAGCCACAAGAGGTACTACCAACAAAATAGAGTGAAAATCTGCAATTTCAATCAGATAATCTCAGAGTCCATCTGATTGACAGTGTTTCCAGTGCAGCGTTTCCCTGCGAAGGCACACTAGCTTCCCAATTCTTTCCTATGGGAAAGCACTGGATTGACTAAGAGCGTCAATCCCAATAATCTCAAAACAAGAATGCATTGCCAAACCAGGACACATCAGCTGGGTGTGGGAGAAAGGCCAAGTGAAATTCATTTTAGCTCCTAACAAAGGGGGTGGTTATCCTAAACATTTAACATGGTGTTAGAATACACATTTGTATTCCCAACGCTATAGTGTCTTTTTCATTTAAAATTATGTTTACATTATAAAACACAAATAGAAAGTGAAGCTATCACTTCTCCTGGCTCTAAGGCAACCGCATGGAAACCACTATTTGTACTCTGCCCAATAGGTGAAGCAGAGATAGGGAGCAAAGTTGGCCCAAAAGATAAAACATATCTCCTGTCCTACAAATAAATGTATTATTTTAGGATGCCGGAGTGTTCCTTTAACAGCAAGAGCTCACTGACACAACAGACCCTCTGTACATCGGTTTTTACGGATATCACCTGAATGCTACACCTGCATTTCTTTTCCAGAACACAGCTCCATGCATTTGTCCAGAGATCCCAATACGTGAGACCTTTTGAAGTCTCTCTCTGGGCAACGCTGTGAGACACCCATTCAGAGCTCCTATTATCTTGGAGACATCTTGTTCTTTCCCCTGCAAAGCAAAGACAATAATCATCTTCCAGCCACTTCCATCTAACCTTTTGCCAACCAATATAGAATACAGAGAAAATACTTGTTTTGCGTTGTAATATAAGATGAAAAAAAAACAAAACAAAAAAAAAAACACCTCACATCTTTAACCTGCTGCACCAGAGCATTTGTGGCTTAACAGAGAACCAACTTTAGCTGACAGTATTTTACAATGAGGCAAGATTTTTTTTTTTTTTTGACAGGAACACTTCAAGAATCATAATCAGAAAATATCATTTTGGTAGTTTGGTGCCAGAAGCGCCCTGACCCCCCTTCAAACCATTTTTGAACAATCTGATGAGCAGCCTAGGATCCATCAGATGTTGATCCCCAACATCACTTTTAAGGAGAAAGTTGGAAGCTCTCGGTGTCTGACTAAAGCCCTTCAGTTTATTGGTTGATAGCAATCAGCTGATTCTCTTAGTTGGACCAACACTGCATAGCTCATGAGAGTTCATGGAAAGGGTAAAGTTCAAATTATTTGAGCATGAAAAAGTAATACAGTATATTAAATAAAATCTATAGTCCCGAGAATAACACTTTTTCAGGACTATAAGTCCCTGCCATTATAGTGACTTCTGACCCTTTAATTACCCTTTTTCCAGCACTAAGACACAGCCGTTGCAGAAGCAATATCCACCTCTTTAGTTGTCAAACACGATGACTTCTTGCAGAATTTCCCCCCCCCCACCCCAAGCATATGCTACTCATAGATAAACAGTGTGGATGAAAAATGCATGCCCAGTAAAGGCCGCACTCTTTGCTAATCTATGAGAAGCATCAGTGCTGCAGAGATTGTGTTGATATGATATTCAACGTGCTCAGTCTTCACTTGTGACGGCTGCTGGGATTGGAAAAAAGTTGATGGTGGAACACTGCATTTTGTTAACCTTAGACTAGTCCCCAACTCTGCTGTGCTTACAGTTCAGCTATTTTGGCCTTAAAGGGACACTATAGGCACCCAGAAATGTAATCGCATTGAAGTGGTCTGGGTGCACTGGCCCAGTCCCCTTAACCCTGCAATTGTACTTATTGCAGTTATTGATAAACTGCAATAATTACCATGCAGTGTTAACTCCACCACTTGTGGCTGTATACCAGACAGCCACTAGAGGCACATCCGGGTCGTTAGCGGACTTCTGATCCAATAAATGACACTGGACTCCTCATGCTTCACGTAAGGACATTCAGTGTCCCATGACATAGTTCTAAAGCAGCACTCAAAGTGATAAACCACACAAGTAATATTATGGCGCTAAATTTTAAAACAACAATATATATTAATAAGCAGCACTATATATAGTGAAAAAAGCTCAATCACCTATATTAAGACAATGTAAAAATAAAGTGCGCTGTGCCTTTAAGACTCAAAGTAATTATAAACAGTGAAAATAATTTGTGCAATACTGTGCAACTAAAGTGATCAAGTGCATCAATGTGCAACATACTTAAAACACATAAATATACAAAATATGCAAACCAAAATATTTCTTAGTGTAACAAATTTTGTGCAAAAAGACAATACTTAGCTTTCCCAATTATGGAATTTGCTTTAAAACTTCTGTTAGCAATCCAATATGTGTCTCAAAGAGAGAAGGGAAATACACAATCATAGGGTAATATGTTAATAAATAAATGTAAAGAAAATATGAACCAAAAACATTCACAAGGGTAGAGCAATCAAGTCTGCTCTAAACTTTGTTGGCTTCTTTTGCAATAATATAAGCTGGAAACTGTGGTGAAGTAAAATCCTTTATTGCATCTTTAAAAATTTCCCTTCTCTCTTTGAGACACATATTGGATTGCTGACAGAAGTTTTAAAGCAAATTCCATAATTGGGAAAGCTAAGTATTGTCTTTTTGCACAAAATTTGTTACACTAAGAAATATTTTGGTTTGCACATTTTGTATATTTATATGTTTAAGTGTGTTGCACATTGATGCACTTGATCACTCTAGTTGCACAAATTATTTTCACTGTTTATAATTACTTTGAGTCCTAACGCAGCACTCGCCACACATTAGGTCCCCAACGCAAAGCGGATGCTGAACCTGACCCAGCACCGAGGAATATCGGCACTTGCATCAGGTAAAAGACGGAAGTGGGGGGACGGGCCTACTGGTCACAATAGTACTAGGCAAACAACTTTGCTTTCCTAGCACTATAAATTTGAAAGTCACTGTGAATTCCAGACAATTCTCACTTTAGTGCATAACTCGGTTTGTCTTACGGTATCTTGGGATTGCGTTGGATCCACTTTCACAAACAGAATACAAATAAATAAATGTTGAAATAGCCATTCACTGTGAGCTGTTAACCTATTTATTATATGTGCATGTAATGTGTAGAGCGGTGACGCCACACCGGCGATGTAGCCTGTAGAGCGGTGACGTCATGCAGGTGATGTAATATGTAGAGCGGTGACGTCACGCCGGCGGTGTAATGACCGTGTCCCCGGCTGGTGCCGCACTCAGGGCCATACTCACCCGCAGGCCGCACTCGCTCTCCGCGCCGGCCCGGCTGTCCCGGCTCTGGCTGCTCACCACATGCCCGGAGCTGGCTGCCAGTAACACGGCTTTCACCGAGCTAGTGCCCACATCAACACCCAGCACCAGCGAGCCGTCCGCCATATCCAAACACAGCCAGGTAGGACGGAAGCCGGGCAGGGACACCTCGCGGATAGGGCGAATCTGAGGTCACGTGAGCAGGGAGGGCGCGGGGGTCAGCGTTCAGAGTCACGTGACTGAGTAGGAAGAGGAGGCAGCGCCTGGGGTCACGTGACTGAGTGGAGAAGGTGGTGATGCTGGCTTCAGAGTCATGTGACTGGTGAGGGAGAAGCAGCAGCTGTGAACTGGTAAACCAGGGTGAGGGCAGCGCTATTCATGTACTATCTGTCAGCATAAGGAAATGTTAGTGTTATTGGTGGTGGTGGTGGTGGTGTGATATGTGTGGGGACCTGAGGGATACAAGTTGAAGGATGATCAGTAAGAGGGGAGGGGGTGATGATACCTGTGGATGAAAGCTTGTAATCTGATACTCGAGTTTTAAGGGAATCATCCCATCTATCTGGGTTGATCTAATAATAAAATATAACAGTGTCCTGTGTTTTAGCTTTTCTAAACTGCCTGCTACCTAAACTTTTTTTTTTTGTCTAACAAATAAACATCTTTGTCAGTCATTTATTGCCTCATGCTTTCTTCTTTTTGTTATAACTTTATAACTTTCACTGGGCTTCTTTCAAAGCCTTCAGTCAGTAATAAATCCATTAATGCTGGTTTAAAGCGAATTACGTCTTGTTTATATGGTTCACTTCTGTAGAGAATTTCTATACAAATCTCGCGCATATATATATTAATTAACTCTGAGGATAAAACTTTCCGCAGCTGCTAATTTCCAGTAGCTAAAAATGTACGGTAGTTTTGTAGTTTGCGAATTGCTGTTACTCTCTACTATTAACAACAGCCTTTTAATTGAATAACAGCTTGTCAGTAAAAATGACCAAAAATCTTCAAATCAAGCCCACATTTGGATAAATTAATTTTACACTTTATACATTATTTATATAATCGGTAAGTTCTTATGTTACATTAAAAGGTCAGTCTAGTCGCCATAACCACTACATGCTGTCATGGAGTCCCTGTGGTACTGCGCCTGTATACATAACAAAAATGAATAGTCAAAGGGCTATTTTGAAAGAAAGAAAGAAAGAAGAAAACACCAACTAAATGTTTTTATTTCTTGCCTTTATTTTAGTTACATAGCCCATTGACATCTACAGAATCATGGATATCTTAATGAAACACTATAAATGTGCATTCATCTTGTGCTGCTTGCTGAAGTCATTCAAACATTGTGGTAAGTAGAAACTTAAATGGAAGCTTAGATGGATCTTCTACATTTACCTTTTACTAAATAAAGCAATTATTAGAAATACATGTAAAAAGGTGAAACCAGTGGTCTATATTTTATTGGTATTCTTTGATTTGAGCCAACTGCAGTCACTTGTTGACAAAGTGGGTAGAAACTAAGAAACGGCTAACATCTCTCTCACAATCCTTGGTCTCACACAGTAGATTCAATAATAAATTAGTTAGCATAGTGCTGTTGATATCTACTGCAGATGGTCTATATAGTTACAGTAGATATGTCAATAAATGTTGCAATACTGGCAGCATGAATGTGTCTTAATGTTTCTAAGATGCTAAAACACAACCACACCAGGTCTCTGCAATCATACATCAGTCAGTTCTCTCAGGATTCCAAATATCCACCTGTCCTCTCATCTATTGTAAGCAGAAAATGAGTTTCAGCAATGGAGTCTTATCTTACCGTCAGCCAGCAGGATTTTCATCTATGGTTCTATCTGAATGCTAAGCAGATTGCACTGTGCTGCTGGCATTGTAGACTGGCATCAGAATGACTCTGTACTACAGTCTCATCATACATAACTGAGCAAAATGTGTATACTAAGTTTGGTCAGAAGGCAGAGTGAACCGCAGCACTCATTGCAAAAACTGATCTGAAAACAGGCAAGCGGAGCAAGCTGTGCTCAGTTTGTTTGACAGTGATGTGAGTCCATGTGTTGCCTGTTTGCTGCCCTGATGCCACACACAAAGCCCATGTGCAGTTTTATGAATTCTGTGCAGCCTCCCATACTAAACCAGAACCTGCGGTCTATCGCCTGCTCTTCCTTCTTCCGTGGAAATCTCGCGGAGCAGCGTAGTATCTTGCTGTGGGAAGGGAGCGTTACCAGGCAGTTCAGCTAACAGATTGTTTAGCACAAGCAGGGAGAGGGGAAAGTACCTCCAGCCAAAATGCAGTACAGATGTATAGAACTTAGTCTGGTAGAAAAGACAGCTAAAACTTGTGGGTGGGTTTGTGAGATATTAGGTGCTTCTCTATGTCTAACTGATTTTTCAGTTTGGGAATGTATTTGTGTATTTGTCTGTGTTGTGAAAGTTCTCTATAGATCCGAATCTCTCATAAATACATATGTTTATACAGACATACAAATCTGCGCACATATATGTAAAGGCACACTAGCTTGCGTGCTTTTATTTACATACCTGTCACAGGTGCCTCATCCCAGGGCCCTATTTAGCCTTGTACTGCAGAGAGCCCCAGATGGAATTTCTTTCCCCAAGTAGGTTAATCTCATAAGAGCAGACATTAGGCTGTTAGTGTAGGACCTGCCAAAGATGGGGTACATTGACGTTGTGGCAGGCTTATGCAATGTATGATCATATAATGTAACTAAACCCCCATTATTTTTGCCTAGATTAGGTGTTTTTAAAAAAACAAATAAAATCTTTCAACATTGAAGTTGCTGTTTAGTGGATAGGTGAGTGCGCTGGATCTTGTGTATTTTATTTACATACAGACATCCCCAACTCTACATATGTATAAAAGCAGACACCTCCATATGTATATATTTGTAGAGATAAAACAATACGCACCTATTAATTTTGCATAATGATCTATAGCCCCACACACATTTACATAGACATACAACTTTAAACCTTGAATTCACACACGCATTATTCATCAATGTGCATTCACTCATTCACTGACAATCCCCACACTCATACACCCTTGCATACACACACTGTCCCATAACAAACACTGTCCCTCCACGTATACTGCCTTGCTTTACACACGACCCTTCACACTGCATTTGCTTAGTAGACTTGCAATACTAACTGTCCACAAAATATATTTATGTATTCACACACCAAATTAGCCCAGCACACAGACACACATCTGCCTTAATACACTCACTGCCACTCTGAGCTGTGAAAAACATAAGGGTAAAAAAGAAAATATTTATTACAAGCACTTTTCATAGCAAGCAACTAACTTTCCAGGCTCGCTAGTAGGTGGGAACTTGAAATTTTGAGTCATGACATATTATATATCTTCTAATCTAACCAGTTGACATGTCTACATGCTTTATGTTGAGTTGCCGCTACATGATTTGCTTTTTGACAATCTTATGCGCCTTATAAAGTGGTCACTGATTGATGTAAACTCATAAATAAACAAACTCTGGGTTTGCAAGAGAACAGTGAAGTTAATGTCCATTACAATTATGTCCATTAAATAATTACAATCACAATTATGCCCACTGATAGGTAGGTACAAATAATTTTAAAATTCCCATTTAGTGAATAACCCAATTTATAATTACTTTGTAACACTTTGTTTTTGTAAGTAAAGCATAAATTACAGGCACAGTCTTATATTCTTTTTTTGCTTTTATCAGATGGCAGCTCTGAACTTTCTGTTCTGTGGTTTGATGCTGCCTCTGTGATTTCTTTACCAGAGGTGGTTACATTACAAAATGGAACCTCAACCAACATAAGTATTGAATCAAAGTAAGTGGTTCTCTTATCATTTACCAGTTTAAGCAAATATATTTGAAAGGAGAAATCTGTTTGCTGTTAATCCCTCTTTATTTCATTAGAAGCTTCTAACGAGATGGAGACTAATTAACCATAGTAGTTGTGCTTTAAGCTCCTATTATATCACAGAACACTTAGCTCCCTTGTGCCATTAGGTGGTAGAGAACAAATTTAAAGGATGATGGTGGGACAGTAAGTTTATAAAACTATAAAAAAGCCAAACTGCTGCTCTGAACAAAACTGTGTATAAAGCGAACACATCTGGTGTATGTATTGCTGCAATCATTTTATAGAGCAGTTCCACTTATCATCATTCAGGGACGATGATCAATCCCCATAAATAAGAATGAGATGCTTCTGATTGGTAGAGCTACTTCCTGATGAGGGAGAAGTTTGTCTGAAGTGGCAGTCAGCTTCTTTAAGCTGTGCATCTTCAGGGTCTTGGAAGGTAAATGGTTATCTACATAATGCAAAAAAAAAGTACAGGGTCATGTTTTACCATTGTTTTTTTGTAAACATATAGCACTTCGAAAAACATAATTTTTGTGCCAGTCGTGGCAATTTGCTACATTTTGGCCTGAGAAAGTGACTTGCCTTAATTGACGGTGTATTTTAATAACTTAGACAAAAAAAACACGTTATTAAACCACAGTGGCCCGTAGGTCACTGAGGTTTAGGATCTATGAAAGGTGGAGATTAATATATTGGATGTAACCGTAACAAAACAAGATTAAAAGAGGTGTATATTAGACCTGGACCAATCAGATATGTGCTTGTGATAATACATACAGATACAAATGGTAGGTATCTTGAATTGGGAAAGTTATCACCCTACCCCCCTGAAAAAGAGGTATCCCAATTGGGCAGTATTTGCACTTGAAATGCAACTGCTTGTCTGAGGATGATTTTAAGGTGAAGGAACAATCTCTTTGTTTGGCCTTTAGACAGAAGGGGTATCCCAACCTTCCTTATGTGTAAAGCATATTTGAGAGCTCTGGAGAAAAAGCAGGAAACCCTTCTCTCTACTAGTTGTAGCCAAAAGAGGGAATCTAAATTAATTAGATTTGTTGCCACGTTTGATCTGCTGGTCCCAAGTTTCCTGTCCACCTTACAGAGTCGGTCCCAAATCTGGTTGCAGCCCCCTCTGGGCGCTTATCAGTGTGGACATTGTACTGCTTGTAGGTACATTAAACAACCGTCTAAAACCTTTAAAGATAGTGACAACTCAGTTGAGTACTGGGTACGCGCTTTCTTTAATTGCTAAATGAAAGGAGTCATCTATGTACTTATGTGCTCATGTGGATTGCTATATGTGGTACTTATGTGCCCATGTGGATTGCTATATGCGGGGGAAACTTTTCACCACTTTAGAATCCGCATTAGAAAACATGTTTATTCGGTATGTGGCAGATTAGAGACCCCCATACCTTAAGGAAAAGCATGGTGGATTGGTCACTGGCCTACGAATTATGGGAATTAAACATATCCTAGAACACCATCATAAAGGTAATTGGGACCTACGCTGAGACACAGAGAGGCATTTTGGATCTATCGCCTGAACACCTTACATCCTGGTGGTCTGAACAAAGGTTTTTTTCATTTACGTCTTTATTTAAGTTATTGCATGTATTTTCTTATATTACATACTATGTGAGCGATGTACGTGAACACATATTAGAATTTATTGTGCTTTTTAAATTATTTTTTACATTTTTTTTTTTACTTTCCATTCTGTGTAACAGGCTGTTTCCTGCTGAGTTTTTAGATAGGTAAATTAGCACCCATGTTTTTACCTTAGCCCTGACACTCTGTCCCAGGAAGGGGACTCCTCTCCTTATAATATATACATCTCCCATTGAATATATATATATAAAACCCAATTGTGTGAATATAGGAACAGTTGCTTTGTTTATCCTACGTATAGAGGGTTTAGGCAATATGCCCCTTCATGTCATAATAGGAGGTGTTGCACCTGACGAAGGCGTGGTGCAACACGCCTAAACACGCATCGCGCTTGTCTTTTGTGTATTTTATTTTCTTTTTGTCACTTTGGGTAGCACTTATCTTATTTAGTATGTAGTAGTATGTTTTAGATTCTCCAGCTTTAGTGTGGTACTTAATGTCCAAAGTTGTTTTGTTTGTTTTTTTAGGGGTGGGGCAAACTGTAGATCAATGTGGTAAATAGGTCATAATGTAGTTTATTTTATTTTCACTCTCAGGGTGCCATCAAATGAAACGGCGGTATTTGCTCTTAATATTACCTATTCCTCAAAGAACACAACCATTATCCATCTTCCAGACCAAGTAAGACACTATCTGCATTTTACAAAAGTCAGTGGATTGTTTACGATTAGTTTTTCTTTCCTTATCTTGCTCTTTCTGTCATAGTGCTTTTTTTTATTTTTTTATTTATTGTAAATCTCCAGTACTAACCAAGGGAATTTTATACGCTGATCAGCCACAACATTAAAACCACTGACCGGTTACGCAAATAGCATGGATTATATTGCTACAATAGCGCCTGTCAGTGCGTGGGATATATTGGACAGCAAGTGAACAATCTATTCTTGAATTTCATGTATTGGGCGCAGGAAAAATGGGCAAGCGAAAAGATCTGAGTGCCAATAAGTGATGGATAGATAACTGGGTCAGAGCATTTCCAATACAGCAAGTGTTGTGGGCTGTTCCTGGTATGCAGTGGTTAGTACCCCCCAAAGGTGGTGCAAGGAAAGACAAGCGGTGAACCAGCATCAGTCAATGCTTAATGATGGATGTGGTGAGTTAAGGCTAGCCCGTCTGGTCTGATCACACAGAAGAGCTGAAATTTCTCTAAAACATAATGCTCCGATCACACAGAGCTGCGGTAGCTGAAATTGCTATAAAACTTAATGCTGGCCATAATAGAAAGGTGTCAGAACACACACTGCATCGCAGTTTGCTTTTTATGGAGCTGCGTAGCTGCAGTGCAGTCAGAGTGCCAATGACTCATGCCCACAGCTGAAAGCACCTTCAATGGGGCATGAGTGTCAGTACAGGGCCATGGAGCTATGGAAGAAGGTTGCCTGGTCACATTTTCTTTAAGCTCAGGTAGAAGGCCAGGTGCATTCTTTACCTGAAGAACAGATGACAGCAGCATGCACTATGGCAGCCAAACTAAATTCGGTGCTATTGTTGTCAAGAAAATGTAATTTATTCTTTTGGTTAAGTTAATTTCTGTTTGTGAAATGTAAATTGTATCCCCCTTGGGAAGCCACAGAAACTTCACTTACCGAGCTCGCACAGAAGTATTTACTCAACAAACATAGACTGAAAGTTAATATGAGACCTTCCGTCAATTTAGGAATAGTTCTATGAAATTTCTCTTATGTAATTTCTCACATTTGATTTTATTCTCTAAATTCCGAATTTTGGCTTATTGAAATACGGATGGCGAAATGCAGGCTAGAACAGCCAAGCTGTGACTGTAACTGGGTTGGAGAATTTTACCAGATCAGCTAATTTAGCTTTGATGTTGCCATTCAGATTTCAATTTTGCTATAATTCAATGTTTAGTGAATAAATGTCATTTTGTTTCACATGTCTCCTATTAGGGGGTGGAATGATAGCTGTGAAAAAGCTAACCAAGTGTGAAGAATTTGGACACAAATAGTTTAGTTTTTTTCTTACTTTGAAAATGTTGTATAGTAAAACCATTGTACTACGTTACCAATCCATGTTTTCGGTTTGACCCCGTGTGGCTGGTTAGAAACAAATTTCAAAGCTCACAAGGATTGTATTGCTCAGAATGCGTTTGTGTAACGCAGTAGTCTTATAGGCGTATAATAATCTCTTTAGCCATCAAACTCACTCTGCGTACGGATGGGAGTGTTTCATATTGTGACACCTAGCAATCTGCGTTCTGTGTCTTGTGCTTTAAAAATAAGGAAGTTATTATTTAAAAGTAGATCTATGAAGTTATAATTCAAACAAATCCTAGTCATAAACATTTTAAACTTACAGATTTTTATTGCTATTCATGTAACTCTACCAAGTGTGTTCCAGCTCAGTAAGGGGACACTACAAACTGAGATGATTCAACTTTTTAAGAATAATCTTATGAAGAAAACATATAGAGTGCAAAATTATGTCTAGCAATTCAGTTACATGCGCATCTAGATCAGGACGTGGCTGATAATCTAAGCCACTTCTGGCTCATCCATTGCTCTCTTAACAGGCCTCTGAGCATCCACAGCACTAGCTGTCTTAGAAAACTATGAGAAGACCTGTAAAAGATAGTGGGGATTTGTATGGCATTCTCTCCATACTTGTGCAAGCATGGAATTATAGCTGCAGAGATATTCATTTTTCTAAATCTTTACTATAAGAAGTCTGTTGTGGGAGCTTCATAGCAAAGAGCACACTGTCCTAGAAAGGAATGCTTTTAAGAAAGGGCTTAGACTGCTTTTAGCTAATTTTAACTTTCTTTGGTCTCATGTTCCCTTCCAGCGATTTTGTTAAAATATATTAATTTAGAATGTCATATTTTGAGCTTATAATATATGGGAGCATTTTCTTGTCTTTGTAGATTGTTCTGCCCGCAAAGGCAAATCATTCATTCTTTACAGTCGAAGCTGTTGATGTGGGACAAGTTACTGCATACTTGCAAGGCAACAATTCACATAAAACTGGGTGAGTTATCTTCTAAACTTAGAACAGTTGCCAACATCCTATATTGTGTACCAGTGCATGTGAAACATCCTTATCAATGTATTCCTTTTATTTTACTTCTGCTTTGATAGCTCTGTTGCACAAAATATCCCCGGAGATATCAGCTAGAGGGGAACATGTAACCAGAAAATCATATGGGTATATAATTGTATTATTAGCATTAGTATCATTATTATTATTATTCTCTTCATTTATATAGAGCCAACATATACTGCAGGACTAATGCAAAATCTTATTATTTAACTTAACTTAAATTAAAAGAATACTTACTGAGTAGTTTAATCAGAAAGCAAAACTTAAGGGTTTATGCATTAACCAATGAATTAAAAAAACAAATTGCAAAATGTAGACCAAAATAGTTTGGAGGGTTGGAAATAAATGTCTAATTCAGTCTGTTTTACAACTTGGCTATTTTATTGTATTAGATTTTTGCAGTTTAGTTTTCAGATAACCTCATTCACTGTTTAGTGAATTCTCAAAGGATTGCAATAATCTGATAAACCGTACAGTACGTCATCGCCAGGGGATTAGTAATCTTGGATATTTAGGAAGACAGTACGGTTTTCTAAATGTCTTTACTGTATTGGACAGTCTTACATACTTATATAGTCGCAGGTGAAGGGGTTATCATGAAACTGATGCCAGTGAACAATGTCCTTATATTGCTAATGCTAGAACTTATTCATCATTTTGTGTAGACCACGAATTCGCTTTCAAGTGATTCACAGCCGCTTTGTGGACATTTTAGGGCAGGTCATTGGTTGGATCTACTTTCTGGCCTGGTCTGTGAGCTTCTATCCTCAGGTGTTTGAAAACTTTCGGAGAAAGAGGTAACGGATTTGTCCTTTATCTACATATCCTTGAATGTATCATTTGTTGCTAAATTCTAAAGCTATAATTACATTAATTGCCATTATTAGATTTGCACTGTTTTTTTAAATTATTATTCTTTATTCATAAAACGCCAACACATTCCGCAGCGCTGTTCCAACAAGTAAAAAGACAAAAGTACAATAATTCTGAGACAATACAAAATTTGACAAACAAATACACAAGGGGTTGATGGTTCTCTTCTTGTGGAAACATACATTTTTTTAGATGGATAGGTTATGTGAGGAACAGGAGGTAAGGTGAGAATGATTTTAATACAGATAGAGAGAGAGAATGGCATTTATTAGTTACTGAGTTATGTGGTAGGCTTACCTGAACAAAAATTGTCTTTAGGGACTATTTAAGTGAAGGCAGACTTGGAGAAAGTCTGATAGTGCAGAGGCCGTGCATTCAAAAGGATTAGTACAACATGAGAGAAGTCCTGCAGTCTAGTATGGGAAGAGGTGATGATATAAGATGCAAGGAGCAGGTCATCGTTAGATCTGAGACTAGGCTGGAGTATATTTGTTGATTATTGAAGACAGGTAGTGAGGAGCAGCATTTGGATGGGTTCTGTAGGTCTGGGTGAGAATTTTTTTATTTAATTTGACCAAAATTAAAAAGATGTGTGTATTTTTTTGTAATTTATATTGTTTTAATTTTTCTAAGATGCATACATGTAATGTACAGTAAAGTCAGTAATCCATACTGTAGTTTTAAACATAAGGGAATATCAAAACCACAAATAATGACACCGTCAGCAGAAATAAAACAACAACTATACATTTAAGAGCATAATCATATAGCAGAAAACCTTCTGAGGGATCTAAATCAAGGAGATGGGCAGGGTGTGCTCCCTGTGAGAAATCTGTACGCTTCAAATAATCATATTGTGTTGATGGCAGGAATATGACTGTTTGCCTGTTTTTGAGTACAATTATAAAACATAAAATTATTAACGCAAAGAAATAGTCAGGAAAAGTAGGTTCTTATACTCCTGCCTAGATCTGGGAGACCTCTCCGGTAACTGAAGAGACTGGAGGTTATGTCCTTGTCACTGCAGTCTCAGCAGGACAAAAGGACCATATGTTTTTAATGTCCCAACTTGGTGCTGCTGCGTGATTGGCCTATTTAGAGAGACCAAGTTCTCCCTTTGGATTTCCAGTGATTGAGTAAATTTTCGAGCCTGCAAGTTAGTAGTAAGGTGGAACAGTCGTCCTTGTCTGTTCAGACAGATTGCATCCAGAGGCCCATCTGTAGGGGATGACCTGTTTCTGCTGAGGTTTAGCCATAGAGATGGCATGTTCGTATGGTGGCAAGTCCTGTACTGAAGACATAAAATACTGCTTATCCATCTCCCTGTAAAATCGGATGAGCAGGAGCCCTAGGGGAGTTTGCTATTGTGAAACAACAGTCAGTGTCTTTACCCCTGGCCTTAGTAAAAGACTGGAGTCAAGAAAAATATCTGAAAATGGAGTAGCTCTTATTTCAGAATACTTTTGGCAAAACCTCTTCTCGTGTGATGCGCAATCATGTATTTTCTTGTTTTCAATGTTTGTGCTTGTTTAAGCATTCCACCTCAGCCCGCAGGTCACTTTGAAATTTTGTTTTGTCACTGACATCCTAAATCACAGTCTTTTGATAAAGTTGTAATTCACCTTTGCTGGCCCATGTTGGCTCAGCCTGCTGTATATAGGTATTTTGCTGAATGTACTATTGACATATTTAAATCTCCTCTCTTATTATTGCAGTGTCGTCGGACTAAGCTTTGACTTTTTGACACTAAATCTCACTGGTTTTATAGCATACAGTGTTTTTAATGTTGGGCTTTTCTGGATACCGTATATTAAGGTAGGTTTCTGTTTCTTTAATACACTTATTCTTTATTTAACGTCTTTTGATTAGTGTAGTGAAAATGAATAATGCACACTTTATATATTAATTGCAGGAAGAATTCCTTCAGATATATCCTAATGGTGTGATCCCAGTGGATTCAAATGATGTGTTCTTCAGCCTCCATGCAGTGCTGCTCACAATCATCACCATCATTCAGTGCTGTATATACGAGGTGAGTGACTTCATGTAGAATGGGTATGTGGTACCAAAGAATCATGCTGTATGTCACTCACTGTTCATTTTTATTAAAATTTACAGCAATATAAATGAGGGCTGGGGGCTTATGAAATAGCAGACAAGAGCTGGAGTTAAGGTGTATTCATTTATTCATTCATGTGTTTGGAATACTGCAATAAGAAAATCACAAAGGCTGTTTGCACAATGCAGCCTTGCGCACATGGCGTTCCCGTTTAAAGGAGTGCCGTCAGTTTCCTGGAAAATGTAAAAAGTAAAGGGAGGTAACGGATCCCCTTAACATAAACGAGACCCTTAAATCAAGCAGCAACCCGTTTGTTTTTCTCCTTACATCAAGTTATTAGTAAATCATTACACCATAATAATATTAGTGATAATATTAATAAGTATATTAACCGTAAAAGGGCATTTTATTCACTAAACTCCAAAGTGTATCAGGTTAAAATCCAAATAGCAAAATTATAGGCAAGGTTTTGCTGTTTTGGCCTGTATATTGCTCTCCGAATTTCAGTTTGCTGCGGTTGGGGGTTTCGTAAAAATGGCTAGAGTAACCTCAATGTGCGGAGGGCTTGTGTATTAATAAAAAGGATAGATTCATTCACATGAAGTAGTTCCTGCTGTTTAATTCTTTAAACGCAGGGACTGAGATCTGTTCTTTATGTCTGTAGTTTTATTTATAACGTTTTTTTTCTGGAAAGCCACCCAACTGTTTGTGCAGTACAGAGAATAATTATAAAACATGTTGCTAACAGAAAAATAAGGCAGAGTTCAAAAGTGGAAAAATCACCCTGGAAACCAGTTGAACCAACAGATACAACCCATAGATTTCCATGGTGACCAGTCCACTTGTAGGATTTTACTCCAATTTTCCAGCTACTCATCGCTTTGTATTTTATTTTTATTTTTTGTAAAGCCTTACAAATAACATGTAATTGTGCAGAAATACACTACGTTTGGCAGCCTATTCACTTGTTAGTGCTTGTTGTCTTGATGAGCAGTTTTCGATTTTTTTTCTTAAATAATAAAGCTGTCTCCTCTTTTCTACACTAAACCAGTTATTAACCCCTTAAGGACACATGACATGTGTGACATGTCATGATTCCCTTTTATTCCAGAAGTTTGGTCATTAAGGGGTTAAAGGGACACTATAGTCACCATAACAACTACAGCTTATTGAATTTGTTCTGATGAGTAGAATCATTACCTTCAGGCTTTTGCTGTAAACACTGTCTTTTTTAGAGTAAATGCAGTGTTTACATTAAAGCCTAGTGATAACTTCACTGGCCACTCGTCAGATGGCTGTTAGAGATCCTTCCTGGGTCATGGCTTCCTAAAATGCATCCAAACATTCATTATCTCCTCCCTCTGCATGCAGACACTGAACTTTCCTCATAGAGATTCATTGATTCAATTCATTTCAATGAGGAGATGCTGATTGTTCAGGGCCGTGTTTGAATTGTGCTGGCTCTGCCCCTGATCTGCCTCCTTGTCCGTCTCAGCCAATCCCATGGGGAAGCATTGTGATTTAATCAGGCTACCACTTCTGATGATGTCAGCAGACTGCTTGTTTTTCTGAGTCTAACAGCATGCAAAGCTACAACTTCAGACTTGAATACAGTAAAATGTTTGCTATATTTATGGAGGCATGAGGGGCCCAGGGGGGCTAGATACTGGTGTTAACACTATAGGGTCAGGAATACATGACCCTATAGTGATCCTTTAATAAAGAGACAGTTCTGCTTTCGCAGAAAAACTCTGTCCTTTTCAGTTTTGTTCTAGAACAATTTGTGAATGATAACATTAAACTGTAATAGCAGAGCCCACAGGCGACAGCCCGACGTACCCTCCAACAGAGACGACCATGGGGCGCAAAAATAGAAAATATCAGCCACCAGCGACCCCGAGAATGCCGGACATAAGGCTCTCATTTGAGAGGCCCACAGCCGCGACCGCGGCTCCCGCCAAAATGGCGCCCGCGGCCCAGGCTGAAGAGGAGGCCTCAGAAGCATCCCAGGAGGAGGAAGACATTGCCACCTCACCTGAACCGGGAGAAGACTACCCAGAAACGGACTCTGATGAGGACGCCTCCCCAGTAACAAAAGGTGACATTAAAAACCTCCTGCAAAACATAAGACAAGTCTGGAAATCGGACCTGAAAGAGGCCCAGGCAGATATAGGAGACCTCCGCAAGAGGATCTCTGAAATAGAGAATAAAGAGCAGTCTCGGGAACACCAGAGGCAGGACACCCGTAACCAAGTAGAGGACCTGGTCACAAAAGTGAAGAAACTCACCCGGTCGGTGACCGCTCTGGAATCCCGCCACAGACGCAAGAATGTCCGCATGCGGGGAATACCGGAAACAGTGAGTGAAGAAGCCCTGCTACCCTTCACCCAGAGATTGGTGGCCTCGATGGGGTTAAAGAATAAAACTACCGAGGGGATGGTGGTTTCTGCGTTCAGAGTCCGGAAAGCAGCAGCGGCACCTCAAGAAGCATCGAGAGACACCATAGTCATCACCAGAGACATTGCGGTGAGAACCGCTATCCTCAATAAATCCAGAGAGATCAAGACGTTCCGACTCGAGGGCTGCTGTGTGACGATCTATGGGGATCTCCCCTTCGAGGCGCTGGTGGCGAGGAGACAACTGGCACCAGTAGCCAAGAAACTGAGAGAGGCGGAGGTCCGGTACCGCTGGGGAGAAGATGGAACGCTGAACATCCAAAGGGGAAACGAGACACTTACCATATCTGCTGGGGAAGACCCCACGGCACTCTGGAAGACCTTGAACCTACCAAGCAAGGATCCGAAGAACACTGGCGTCTGATTATGAGCACGCCAACAAAAGTCGACAGAGAGCCTGCGGGCAAAGTAGCCCTATAACAAGGACTGATCCTCTATTTGCCTTACCCCATGCCAGGCTACATACCTCACAGACCACACATGACGCATATAACCAGCGAGAGAGACGGCCCCACACTAAGACGGACTGAAAGGCAACCCATGTCACTCAGTCCCCCAGACAATGCCAGACACACTAATAGACGCAACACCACATAGCCCTGTCGCCCATCACGGACAACACAGATGCAATGGCACCCACAGAGAATGAACAACACAAGACCACACAAAATAGACACGCATGCACACTCACAGGAGATGAGAACACACACCAGACTACAACAAGACCCAATTGAGGGTCATTTGAGTGACGTCTCAGTAAGAGCAACAGAACTCTAAAATGCATGAGTTATAAAAGAGGCACAAGAATAATGCTCACCTCTATGATATACTCTGTATCAGTTGTATCTTTTGATAAAAATACTCAATAAAATACAAATTAAAAAACTGTAATAGCAGGATACATTAAATGACACATTTATTTTTTTTCTTCCCAGCGTGGAACTCAGAAAGTCTCCAGAGTGGCCATTGTTGTCCTTGTAGTTGCCTGGCTCTCTGCGTTTTGCATGCTGTTTGTGGCCCTGGGTGGGAAAATCACTTGGCTTCAGTTTCTATTCTGCTTCTCGTACATTAAATTGGCAATCACGCTGATGAAGTACTTCCCACAGGTAAGCTCGTTCCGCTTGTTCTTTGAAATCGTGCATATCATTGTTTTCTTTTGTTCTCACAAGATTCTAAAATGTATTTTCAATTACAAATCTTTAAGAAAAAGGAAAGGAATAATACGCATAATGGAGTCAGTAATGTATATGGAGTTATTCACTAAACCAGGAATTAAACAAAGGAAATGCAAAATAAAATAAAATCATAGGGTTGAGAGGGAGATGTCAGGAGTGAGTAGTGATGGAACGAAGGATGACTGAATGAATTGGAGAATACGCTAGTGCCCCGTTTTTTTTTTTTATCCATTATGAAAATACATTATTAGTGTGCTAACATTTAATCCAGATCCCATGATTGCATCACTTAAAGGGACACTCTAATTATGAGAACAACTTTTGCTCAATGACATGGTGCTCAGTTCTCTGCCATTTAAATTACTTTGTTTATACAGCCCTAGCTATACCAAAGTCCCCATCCCTCCTTGCTTGGAAACATTCACACCCTGTTGCCCTGGTACTAGCATAACGTTTTTCGGTGGGTGAATGATAGTAGAAAGAGCTGGGTGGTCATCTTCTGGTTTAGCATCTGATATCCTCCTTTATTTTCATATTGTTCTTTCTCTACCTCATATTGTTATATTGGTTTACAATCCTCTTGCACTATGTTTTATTATAGAAACAGAATATCGATTATATTTTAATTAGTTTTTTTCATTAATTTTTATTAAAGCTAAATGTTGTGGTAAGATTTGAATTACATGCAAATTGATTTATTTCAGTGAATCATTTACAGAGTGTTGTATGTAACTCTTACAAAACCAACATATGTATAAGAAAAGTGAGAACATTTTTGACCCTTTTGTTGTATGGAGGACCAAACCACATGTCTCTCTGCAAGTTCAGTTTTCACTCTTGACTGTATACTGATCATTTTTCTAATTTACTTTTACAACGCTATAAGGGAAGAGCATTTATACTTGAAATTCCCTTCTCAGAATTGTCGTTGGTAAAAGTTCCATCTGTAACACACATCCTAAACTGCTCTCTTTCATCTGGTGTTGTCCCTGCTACCCTTAAGCATGCCACTGTTGTACTCATCCTTAAAAAGCCATCCCTAGACCCGTCTTTCCCTTTCAACTATCGTCCCATATCCCTACTTCCTTTTTCCTCAAAACTTCTAGAAAACCTTGTCTTTAGTCGTATGACTCACTTCCTAAATTCCAACTCCCTCCTCGATCCTCTTCAATCTGGCTTTCCCCCCCCTCTCAACTCTACTGAGACTGCTCTTATTAAAGTTACAAATGACCTAATCACAGCTAATTCCAAAGGCCACTACTCCATATTAATTCTTCTTGACCTCTCTGCTGCCTTTAACACTGTTGATCATGTCCTCCTTCTCCAAACTCTTCAATCCTTTGGTCTCTGTGACACTGGCCTCTCATTGTTCTCCTCCAATCTCTCCCAACGTTCGTTCAGCGTCTCCTTTTGCAATAACAACTCCTCCTCTTGCCCTGTCTCGGTTGGAGTCCCCCAAGGATCTGTTCTTGGTCTCCTTTTGTACCCTCTTTATACTGCCTCTCTTGGCATACTAATTAACTCCTTTGGATTCCGCTACCATCTGTATGCCAACGACACCCAGATATATCTCTCCTCCCCGATCGCTCCCCCACGGTCCTGCAACGTGTCACTGCTTGCCTTTCTTCAATTTCTGATTGGATGTTCTCACACTTCTGAAACTCAATCTCTTAAACTGAGCTTCTTATTTTTTCCCCCTCATAATTCTGACCCTCTTCCTTCGCATTCCCTGCAAGTTGATGGTGCTTGCATCAGTTCTTCCCCCCAACCCCCATGTCCCATGGTGTTCTTTCCCCCTGTCCCCCATCCCCCTAAAAAAAAAAATTGGTGCATCCCTAGCTGTCACCCTTGATGCCCTGTTGTGTATTTGTACACCACCTCCTCTAGACTGTAAGCTCGTTTGAGCAGGGTTCTCATTTACCTATTGTTCCTATGTCACTGTGTAATTGTCTCATGTATTGTAAATTCCCCCCACCCCCCTTTCATAATATTGTAAAGCGCTGCAGAATCAGTTGGCGCTGTATAAATACCAATAATAATAATATTAATAGAGCCATTTGCCGAGTGATTGCTCTATTTTTAGACCCAGAATTACTTTTGATAAATAATCTTCACTATACCGGTAGGAACTAAATATTTAAAGTTATCCCCAGAAATAGAGTGACCTAGATTGTATAAATGGCTCTGTATCAAATCACCATGATCTTGATTTACTTTTATCTCAGGCTTTTATGAATTTCCGTCGGAAAAGCACAGAAGGTTGGAGTATCGGAAACGTTCTGCTTGATTTCACCGGAGGAAGCTTCAGCATTATCCAGATGTTCTTACAGTCCTATAATAACGGTGAGTTTGAGAAAAGGCAAATCAAAAAGTTGTCCAATTTTTTGCAGGCCCTTACACATTCACAATGTGAATGTAACAAATTCAAATGAATCTGACGGGAAAAAAAAGGATTTTAAAATCTTTGTCTACACTGTCACATCACTATTTAACCTGGTATTTAAATGAATTCTCCCTAACTGAAGTAAGCATTGTGCTGCATGATTAACAGAGACAGCTATTCTAAAATCCTTTACCCATGCATTTGCATTTCCTTGTGTTATCACAGTTTATATATTGTTCCGTGTGCTCTATACTGCAGTTGACCAGGTTTAATATTTTTTACAGTATGTTACAGAAAGTGTTACTTTTGCAAAGTTTGCTTTTTGGCCTGTGGACTGCATGCGTACTCTGTGAACTCCCACAGTTCTTAATTTATTTTATTAGGGTTTCTTTTAACTATTTCAAAATATTGAAGGTATCCTGATACTGTTTTAAGTGACCAGTCTGTTTTGAGGTAGAATACAGGACCCAGTATTTTTAATAAAATTTTTTTTTTTTTTTTTAAAGGCCAGGAAAATGTATATCACTAAACAGTAGCCTATATAACTGGCGTTCGTAACTGCTCGATAATAGTTCTTGACTTTTAGCTGGTATCACGGTTTGGGAAATCTGAATTGTGATCACTTTAAGTCAGTAACTTTGCTTAATTCCGAAAATGTCATGATTTTACAACTGGGTCAAACCATGATTTCATCATTAATCTTGTGATGTTGAGCTTGATTGGCCAATTAAGAAAAAATGACACTTTTGGAGTATTTTCATTTGCATCATAGGCTAAAGGTAACAGAATTTAAAGGAACACTATAGTTTCAGGAATACAAACATATATTCCTGACATTATAGTGCAGGAATCGCTGTTTAAGTCCCTGGCCCCGCTCTTCGTGGAGATTAAATCTTTTAATCTTCTCTTTTTTTCCATGCTGTGCCATTCTGGCCTCGACTGTACGTGCCTCTATGACTGAGATCATCAATCTTGATTATCTCAGCCAATAAAATGCTTACCTGTTGGAAAGCATTGGGAGGCTTTTATGCATGCGCGGCAAAACACCCAGCTGCTCCAATCAGCATTTCTATATAGAGATTCGTTGAATATAGAATCCCTTTAAATGTGTGTAATAATTAACCCAGCATGTTCCATACCATTGCTGTGTTTGTTTCTTTAATCTGTTCCAACAAATCTTTCCGGTATTGTGCACATGTGCAATTGTTATGTTACTACTTTTTAGTTTAGTTACAGGGTATATTTATTCTCTAACTGGTGTTACTGATTCAGTTGCATTTGCTATGTTTTTGGTGGGTTATTTAAAGTGTTGATAACATTTGTGCAAACGGATCATGATCCCCAAAACGTGTTGAACATAAGTTTTTACCCCTTAAGGACCAAACTTCTGGAATAAAAGGGAATCATGACATGTCACACATCTCATGTGTCCTTAAGGGGTTAAACGTCCCACCATCACGCACCAATAATGGTAAAACTGGTTGGTGTAGAAAAGTTTTCAAATATTAGCATGTTAATAAATATCTGATATATGAATGGAATTTCCACTAAAAAGTGGCAGTTAATAGAATTTTGTTTAAGTGTTTATGTTTAACATTTTTTCTTTCTTTTACACAGATGAATGGAAGTTAATATTTGGTGACCCAACGAAGTTTGGTTTGGGAGTTTTCTCTATAATTTTCGACATTGTTTTTATCACACAGCACTACTGTTTATACAGAAAGCGAGAAGGCTATGAACATGTTTACTAACCATTTATACACTTTTTTTGTTGTTTTGTTTCTTTAGAATCACTAATCTAGTGCTTTTGTAAGGAGTTTAAGGAGTTTTGGACTTTTTATTTTCTCTCAATTATTGTGCCTTAAAATCTGATCATTTTTAAAGAGACTTGAATTGCTTACCGACTATAGATGTTCAGATCCTATGCAATATCCTAAAGATATGTAATCCTCGACTATTTGGAAAGAGAATATTTATTTTATTTATTTTCTTGCTGTTGGATCTTCTTTTCTCTGAACACCAGAAGCTCTTTAAACACAATGGAATTTCATATCGCTTTTCTCACAAACCAACTTTTTTTTTTCCTGGTGCTTCAGTGTCTAAATCAAATATCTTTTGGTATTGAAAACCAAGATATTATTCAGTATCATTACTTAAGGATACCTCAGTGACTTATATTTTTAACCAGATTGTGCAATTATTCTTTAAAGTAGGTTTCTATGATATCCGGATTTCCAAAGGGTGCGTTTCTTAACAACAAACATTTACGATAAAACAAAAACAAATTTTTGGGGAAAAAAATGTCCCCTTCTTGATAGAAAGCATGCGCCACCATGAAACGCATTGGATCTGAAGAAGTTCGTCTATTACCGAAAATGAACCAGCGAGGGTTACTGTGTGATAGCCCAGCTGCATACATGTCAATATTGAGGGTACAGTTACAGTGTCACATGTTTAGTACCATAATTTGGGGATATAGATGCTGCCGCTGCAGCCTTGCAAATTAAAACCGTACTGTTTCTGACAAAGTACTGTGTTTACTTTTCATTCAAGCAGCCACTATGAGCTCCAGACTGAAATAAATTCAATTACTGAAACTATTTGATGTCTGCATGCAAAATATGTGTGAACTGTGTGCATCCAGTGCTTTGTTTTATGAGAATCATCTGACAAAATCAGCAGGATTAATGAGGTCACAGAAGTACGTTTTTAAGGGTGTTTTGTGCGATTTTGTTTGGTTTTATCTATTTATTTATGGGGACCCATTAATCCTACACTTATCAAAGGAACACAAACAAAATTCTTTTTTTTTATTTTCTCAGTGTTTCTTTTGAGAATACTTGAAAAAATGGTCACTTGTTACAAATATGGTTTGAATGGATATACAGAGAGGTTGACATTTTGATGGACATTTAAACAATTGTTTTGTGGAACATAATTTGGGAGCTTTCCAGAGAACTGTTTAGGAACATAAATATTTTTTTAAATATTTTTTAAAATAAGAGAGTCTAGTTCAGTAGTCGGCTTCTCATTGAAAATATCTACAGTGACAGTAGCTTGGGTCGAAATAGGTGAAAAGTTTGAGTTACCCTATAATATGTTAAATAATCTTACATAGTGTATTTTATGACATCAGATTGTAAATAATGGTGCGTGCTCTTAGACTAGTTAATATGCCTTCCCATCAGATGCCTAGGACTTATAGTTACATTCTAAAGTGATTTTGTAGATTTACGTATTTATGCATTCCTTCACTCCTTTCCAGGACTCCATTGGTTAAAACGAGAATTCCTCCTCTAGAACAAAAGGCGACATTTAATGACCTCAAGTAATATATTTTGTCTTCACATTTTCTATTTGTTTACACAAAAATTAATGATTCAAATTTTTACCAAAAATATTTTTTTTTTTACTGTACAATATGTGGGTGTTTTTCTCAATTTCTCAATCTGTTTAAATTTCATCTGAATAAATATGCATTGGTCATAACATTTTAGTATGTGGTGGAATTCATTTTATTTTTCACAAATAATGGTGTAAAAAGCTGTTTGATGATCTCTGACAATCTGTTTTCCCATAGGAGGCTATTGCACATGTGCGGCAAAAAAAACAAACCAAAAACTTGCACCACTTATCATCATCTCTATGGGGAACGTTCAGCACCTCCATGCAGATTGTGCAGACGCTGAACATATGTGCAGCACTGGGCTACGAGGCAGTAGTGGCTGTCTGAGTGACTGCTTCTCTAAAAAGGCAGTGTTTACAATGAAAACCCTGCAGGGACAAGCTATTAAGAACATAACCACTACTTTAGGCTGCATTGGTTCTGGTGACTAGTGTCCCTTTAACAATTCTATTTTTGTCATTAAAAATAACCCTGTTAGTGGGAAAAACACCTAGCTCCTAACCTTTTTAGCTGGGTTCTAGAATCACAGCAAATGTGTCAAGCCCTGCTCTACCACCAATCTTCTGTTGACTAAAAGCAGCAAGCTGTGCAGTGGGATGGATATTAGCAGAGCACTGCAGGAATGAGACAACAGGAAGGAATTGTGCAGGGCCTTTGCTAGTTTAGCACTGTGGGTTTTGTGTTTGGGCTGTAATCTCAATGTTCTGCAGGGCTAACCTGGTCCATTTGGATTTTTCCTCGGAGATTGCGGCATTTAGTTATGTCAGACTATGGGTATGACGTGGAGGTGTTTGCAGGCAGCTATAAGTTTAGATGAGATGTTGATGTCAATTAAGTCATACAAAATAGTAGTAGATAGTAGAAATTCCACATCTTTATTGTTCTTATTGTAAAAAAAATCCTTTCCTTTGCTACCGCTTCGTGGCTCAGGTTTCTCCTATGCAGGGCCGCCATCTGGAGGCTACATTCGTAATGTACATTTATATAGAAAATGTTGCTTTATATATATGTACACATACATACACACACCCCCCAGCAGGCTGGTTTGCATAGTGAAAATGGTTACCTGGGGAGTCAAAAGATCCACCTCTGGCAGGTCTTCTTGTGAGTCCAGGCTGTCAGTGCACTGCCACAGGTTACCACAGCAACAGTCCGACGTGGTTTCTATGCAAGGGCTCAAGACAAAGGGAGAGGACCTGCCTGGAGTGAAATTTGGACACTCCTTGGACAAGGCAACTGGGAACCTGTACATTATCACTGAGTAGTGTACCCTGCACCTTGGCCACACGAAAGTGGGAGGAAGGGGAGAATTAAAAAAAACTTCAAAAAGAAAAACCTCTAAAACTGCTCACCTCCCCCCCGCACAGAACAGTCTCACAAATCTGCATGCATTGCACATACATCCTCTGCGTTCATTATAAACACATGCACAGCATCCTTGTTGGTGGACTCCTGTAGAACACTGGGAAGGGACCAGCACTTGAGCTATGTAGCTTTGATGGTAGCCTTGCTCCTTTGACATGTGATAGACAGGGGCAGGGCCATTCCGTACATAGGACGGAGTGGAGCCATGGTTCCAGGCAACACAGGGGCGGCATTTTTCTGCTCCGAGCATTAGGGACCCGGGCCGCCTCTGCTGCATATATATGCAGCAAGTCGGCTCTATAATTGGGCTATTTAGGCGGTTGCCTAAATCGCCTTAGGGCAGACTGACCTTTTGGGTCCTCTGTCTATGACAGAGGGCCTGACCCCAGGAGGGGGTCTGGCAGCTTGCCCTGTATGCCCTCCGTTCAGTATGCCTGAGGAGAGCCTCCTGTCTGCAGCTCTGCCGGGTGTGAGCTGACCAGAGCTCGCAACAACTCGAACACTTGGTCTGTAGCTCACATTCGGCAGATGTCGAGTCCTATGTATAGTCCGGTTTACGAATAGATTTCCAGATAATGATTTGTATTGGACTCTGATATATTTGTATAATCTCATATCCACTCTGAGGTGCCATTTTTCCAAACTAAAGAGATTTCAATTAGTTAACCTGTCTTCATGACTAAAATGATCCATTACTTTTATTAATTTTGTAGCTTGCTGCAGCCCTTTTTCTAGTGCCATAATATTCTTTAGAACAAGTGCCAAAAATTGCACAGCTTTTCAAAGTGTGGTCTTACCAGTGATTTATAACATGGATTTGGTAATTTCTTGCTGAGAATTAAAGGGAAACGCCAGTGCCAGGAAAACAATGTTTTCCTGGCACTGCAGGTCCCCTCTCCCTCCCACCCCCCAATCCCCGGTTGCTGGAGGGGTGAAAACCCCTTCAGTTACTTACCAGAGACAGCAACATGTCCCGCGTCGCTGCTTCTTCCTCCGCCGCTCCTCCCAGTGATTAGGTCGGCCAGTGGGCGAGACTGATCCCGCCCACGGAGACCTAATGCACATGCGCGGCAATGCCGCACATGCGAGCTCCCCATAGGAAAGCACTGAAAATGCTTTTCAGTGCTTTCCTATGGGGAAATGAGCGACGCTGGAGGTCCTCACACAGCGTGAGGACGTCCAGCAACGCTCTAGCACAGGTTTTCTGTGCTATGATGCAGGCAGTGCCCTCTAGTGGCTATCTAGTAGACAGCCACTAGAGGTGGAGTTAACCCTGGAAGGTAATTAATACAGTTTATACAAAAACTGCAATAATTACACTTGCAGGATTAGGAGTAGTGTGAGATGGCACCCAGACCACTCCAATGGGCAGAAGTGGTCTGGGTGCCTGGAGTGTCCCTTTAAGGCCTCATTTTATAAATGTCAGTACCTTACTGGCTTTAGCCCCTGCTGATTGACATTGCACATTGTTGACTTCATTGTCTTGCAAGCAGAAACTAGGAGGGACAAAAAAAAAGGTTGTCTTCCATTAAAGAGAATAAGTCTTGGAATTACACGTGCAGCTGTTAATACGATTATATGATCTTTTTGCAGACTCCCAGATCTCACATGGTTATATATAATCTGCAAACGATGACAGCCACATGATTCATGGCTTTTGTGGGCAGAGATAATTCTGCATGTCAGCAGCTACAGCCGAGGAAGATAATAAACGGTCTGCAGCACCCATAATACCAACAATTGAATATTTTAGAGACTAAAATAGGACACATTACAAAGTATTGCAGGCACTTCTGTTTTTTAGTAAATCAGTTATATGATCAACTAGATCTAGTTAAAAAAATTATTTTAGGAATCAACATTATGTTTTTACCAGTAATCCCAGTAGTTATTGGCCTTACTCATTTAACTTTACACAAAATTAATCCGTTCCAGCCTTCAATTTTGATATCTAAAGTTCAAACACACTTTTAAACAAGTGGTTCTTATCCAGGACTCATGTGCTCCCTTGGCTTTATTAGCGGGTACCATCAGGCACATTTTGCTACTCACTATAACTGGTTACTATAGCAACACTGGCTTCTTAGTGCAATGATAGTGGGAATAGTTTGATGATTATAGCATACACATTTATAGAATGGGTCACTGAGGTAATTGTTAAATTTGAGGAGGTATTGTTGTGTGCATAAAGTCAAACAAAGGTATACCCATTCTTAACAAGGAATGTGCATAGGTTCAATAAATCAAAATCCGTGAACCAAGACACAGACATGCTGTCTTCATATAAACATCATGGCATCCTATATTCACTTTTAGGCGAGCAACACAGTTGCGGAGGTATAAGGCAGTTGCTGAGGCATTGACAGGAACCGAACAGCCTCAGAATATTCTCTGCCACGTGCTAAACAGCTTATATGGAATAGAACTCCAATCAACTGCATCTAGTGCAGGGATAGGCAACCTTCGGCACTACAGATGTTGTGGACTACATCCCCCATAATGCTCTTACACCCATAATGCTGGCAAAGCATCATGGTAGGTGTAGTCCAAAACACCTGAAGTGCCAGAGGTTGCCTATGCCTGATCTAGTGGTTGACTAAACCTCACATGCATTTTAGTCTATAACAACATTATATAGTTGTTTTAATGCACTTGAACTAATACAGCCCTTTTTTGCTCTCAAATTGCAGTAAAAGCACCCATCTCTGAGAAACATTGCAATAAATATTTGTCAGTGTTTCTTTGTGGGAAGCATTTGAGTGGACCATGACCAACAATAATGGATGTAAGTTTGGGACAAAAAGGGTGTGTGTGTCGTCATTAGCTGCAGAGGCTAATTCTGCAGTTATTTAAAGGTTTTTTTTTTAAGGCTTGGTAAAATATTTTGTGCAACTATTAGCAAATTGTATATTTTTTGCAATAACTATCCATATTAAAAAAAAAAAAAAAAAATGCACTTTTGGATAGTTTCTTTTTAAGAAGAGAATAATGGGCTTTTGGACCCTGCATGGAAACAATTGATTAATCCAGGTATATGGAGAGAATACTAGTATATTGGGATTAAACGTTTGGCAACACATTAGCGAATGGCATATTTTAGGTCAAACTAACAAAACACTCCATCTCCACTATAAAACCTTAAATTTGCCATTTCCTGGTTAATTCATAGTTTATTAAATGTGAGTGTAAATCACAGCCAGGATAGGATAGGAGGGGAGGGGGGGCCTAAAACTGCATGGACTTACCTCATCCTTTTCGCTCCTGCCTCAATCTCATTACAGGGGTGGGTGTTGCACTTCTGTAACCCCCATTTCCACTCCACATGGTCTCTTCAATGATTTCCCCTGTGTTGGAACACTTCCGCAGACAGGGCCAGCTAGGGAATTATAGCTAATGCAGTGCATGAGCTGTGATTGCTATGGACGGAGAGCACAAGGAGCGTTTGGTGGAGGTCGCTTCTGCTCTCCTTTATGAATCAATGCCTCTGCATAGTCTATGCCCACAAAGTGATTGACAGGTGGGAGAAAAAGCCTATTTTAAATAGGTTTTTCTCACAAACTATATATTTGCCATCAACACTTCTAGAGCAATGAAGAGCTGAAATGCCATGCACTTTAGAAATAGTTAAAGTAGTTTGGGCCATGACAAGTGCCCTTTAATAATTTCATTGATATTTTTAGTTTACCCAACATATTCCTATGATTGCAAGAATGTACATTAGATTTACCAATAAAATGAAGAGAACAAACATATTTACAAGCAAGAGCAGATCTTTAATCAGCATAAACACATTGAAAAACAGTTTAACAAAGATTTTCCCCAATAATTTACAAAAAGGTTTAAAAATATTTGGCACCCAGAACAGAAATCTTGGACAGAAAGCCACAGCGCTATCTTCGTGACTTGAGGTTTCATGCTTCCAGTGAGATTTGTGCTGCGTGAACAGATTACAGAAAGCACCACTTTAAACCAATACCCTAGACCTGCCATCTTAAATTTGAACAGCAAGGCACCGATCTAAGCCTGTGTGTTGGCTGCAATGCCCACTATGGATATTGGACCTGCAACTGCTAGAGGGCGCTGTAACCTATCCGTTCTTTAACAGCAACCAGAGAATCTAAATTTACAGCTCTCAAAACTCTATAAACATGTAATGACTTGCCTTATGGCTGGCGAGTCATCAAGGGAAATGTAGTCCAGAAAAGTTGGAGTGCCAAAGTTGATCATTTTTTTTTTTTTTTTTTTATTGTATATGGCCACATCCACAAGCAAAATTACCAATATTCCACAGGAGGCACTTAGACTTGCAGCAAGCAGTCTCATTAGTTATTCCCTTCTTACATCTGGATGTAAATAGGCATCAAAATATAGCAGGACTAAGACTATTAAAGATACACTACAACTATTCTTTCCTGAAGACAAATACAAGAACTAGCATGGTTTTTAACTGTCTTGTGCCCTTTTCAATTGAATAATACATACGTGATTGAGCTCAGTTTACAAACAGTACCCAGTATTTAGTCTTGGCGTGTCAGCGGATGTGTGAAACATACATATAGAAAATTTTCCCCCATCTTTTATTTTTAAAATTAAATTTTTTTTTTGCAATTCCCTTGTTAATTTCTCATAACTTCCAGTTTATTGACTAAACCCCTAATCTTAATTACATCGTAGATATTCTCACACCTGTCGCTAAACTAACACAGTGGCAGAAAGGAAACGAAACATCCAAATTTAAATAAATAGTTACCTTCTGTATGTTCCCTGTTCATTTCTGACAGTTCCCTACCAAAATAAACATTGTAAAATAGAAGCTTTTGGAGCCTTCTGATTCATGTTGGTGCCAATTGCATAAATTCTGTTATTGACAGTTCTAACTCTTTTCCTCTCAGAGGAAGTTGAAATACAAAATAACTGCTGTAAGGCATCCAAATTAACTGAGTCTTCACGTATTTTTTTATAACAGTGGTTTCCAACCCATGCCTCAGGGCACACTTATAGTCTGGGTTATGCTAGTATGCCCAATGGAACAAACATGAGAAATACCTACATCCTGGACCGTTTGTGTGCCTCGGGGATCGGTTGAGAGAAATAAGAAGGGAAAGAATGGCTTTCAGTTAATCTGTGTTCTTCCATATAGAAAGAGTTAAAAGGAAATCAAAGCCACCTCCAACCACCAGCAGATATTACTGGTCATTACAATGCTATCAATAGGATTTCGCTCAGGCGCACAAAAAACAAACTGCCAGTTGTATATAGTATAACACAGGATTAAAATACACTATTGCTTGCATGCAATCAAATCAGGATACATAGTAACAAAACACAAGTGAAAGTGAATAAATCAAGTGATTATTGGTGAATTAAAGCATTAGAGTGCAAAATGTATCATCTGTAAAAAGTAGCTTTCACAAACACTACTTCACAGACTTTAGTTATGGCTACAACCTTGCCACTGAAGGATGGCAGAGATTCAAGGGAAATGTATTTCACAAACATCTGTCACATGACAAGATACACCATCACAGCTCTAGAGGAAAGTTTAAAGAAGTTAAATAATGTGACAAAACAATCCATCTGTACAAAGACAGAAAAGAAACAATTTGTGAAATGTACAGAAGAGTGGTTAGCATGACTATTTCATTTTTAGCTTATAATACCCTACTGGTCATTATTACTAAGCCCTCCCCACCCCCCGCACCACTTATAGACCTGAATTTAAAAAGTTAAACTTATATGGAAACCAGCGCTGCCTAACATGCCCTGTCTGATGTCTGCTGTGTGTGATCGCTGTTTGATCAAGTGCGCAATAGTTGTCCTATCAAATGCCTGATTTATGTCAGGCAGGGGAAGGAAAGGTTGGACAAGGAAGGGGATTTAAAAAAATATATGAATGAACACTGTCTGCAAAGGAATAACTGAAATCTGTTGCCAGTACGTTGACGACTGATGTGAATTTTCCAGGCTGCCTACGTCACATGTGCCCAGGATGCAACTAGCCCCCAGTGCAAATATCAGAAACGCTGCACATACAGATTCCCATCACCATTTCTAAATAAACAGAAGTGGTCATTGTGGTTAGAGTAACACTTTAAGCATAAATTGCAGCACAAGCTATGCCATCACAGATAATCAAAGCATTTTAGTTATACCACTGATTAATCCAGCAGCAGAGAGCTCCATGGATCTGTCTGATCGACCTCTACATCAGACACGAGAAACAGATTCACAGTTTTTGGGACAGCTACTCCCAGCATACCAGACTATGGATGATGAGCTGTAGTTTCTTTGGCCAACCTTCATTAAAAAAGTCATACCAAAGCAAACAGAGATCAGGATCGGTTTGCAGATTTTGTTTTGTTTTACCAGCAACAAAGAGGGACCCCCACCTCCCCTCCAAAAAACAAGTAACTAGAAGAATGAGAAAGTAATTCGCTCACATGCATATGCAAATTAGGAGAAAATATACATATATTTTTACAGTTGAAATCCAGTAGAACCCAGCAAATTGACAGATTTAGAACAAAATAAAACTGGTTTAGTTCTTATAAAAATACAAAACACAGGGCTTTCCATATTGGTTGGACCAAGTAGCAGAAGGTATGAAAAATAAACACCACCTCTTCAAATCTGTATACATATACAGGTCTTATAGCAGCTGTGCTGTATCGTCACAGCATGCTGGCTGGCACAATCTATTTTCAGTATTAAAAACATCCGATGCACAATCGGCAAGGTCCACAAAGCATTCAATGAAAAGGATTTAGCACAATCTGATTGTATCAGGAACATCTAAGTTGTAGTGCACATACAGTGTTACAAGTAGGCACTTACAGTTTGTTACAAAAACATTCACAATACAAAGCTCGCCCATCAAGCTACACACGCCCGCAGTGACGTTTTGGTTGTTAATATTTACAAGTCACAAGAGAAAAATTGTAAGGATACAAAAAAAAAAAATACAATCAGGTTACTTATATACCTTTTGAAATTAGTGTCTGCAGAAATACAACACAGGCCTGTAGAGCAGAAAGGGACTCAATTAGCATTTAGCCTAGCAACCATTTTACATTCTCCCATATATTTGGTCCATTAAAAATAAAAAATACCTACACTCCCCTGGCTGTCAGACTAGTCATGTTACTTCCTGGTAATTTAGCTCAGTGGAGCTAAACACAAGAGAAAGGCAGTTGCTTAGAGCACCTGCCTTGCGAAGATGAATGCATGTTTTCATTGGGGTATATTTACTAATCAGTGATTTTAAGTGGAGTGTCCCCTTAAGTAAATAATTTACTGAAAAGAATAGTAGATAGAACCAAATTGTAATATTTAGGTCACAATAGAGGATGTTTTGGCTAGGTTTCAAGAAAATACACGGATTGCCTGCTTTGTTCGCAAGTTAGATATAGATCTCGTGAGCTAAAAAGGTTTCACTTTACTACAATGAGGTATTTATAGAATAAACCCCAACATCTTTCACGGTATAGATTGTAAAAAGCCAAAAAAGATTATCTGATGGAAAAATAGTGGTATAACTATTTAACATTCCATGGATTACATGGACTAAATCTTGGAATTTGCTTAGATTTTATAAATAATCTTTCGATCAATAATGAATGAGCAGAGGGAGCCACTAAAAGTACAAGTGGTCTAATACTGTGAATATGCTCTGCCAATTCATAGATTTCCATGCAAAGTAAGCATTCCCTTTGTCAGGTCCCCAGTTCCTGAGACAGGGTCTCTCTCACAAGCTGGACTCTCAGCCCAGAACCATCAGCACTTTGGACCTTTAGGACTGATTTACAAACTAAAGTTGCAGGTCTTCGAAACAAGACCCCCCCCCACCCCCCCCATGTTGTCTTTTTTTTTATGTTTTGAGAAGTATATATTTTTACAAACTCTGCTGTAGTGTTTTTTTTATGCTGCAGTCTGTCTTTGGTCTGTTGCTCAATGCTACGGACACATCACTTTTTTTTGTTTTACTCTGGGGAGCCATGAATGTGCTCTCTGATAGCAAAAAAAAAAAAAATGACCTGTGTAACTGAACAATGAAAAAGGCATTGGTTTTGCAATTTACCATATCCCAAATATACTAAAAATATTCCCAGATCTATTCATGACAACATCAATTTATGCCAAAGTTAACAATTTATAATGATTCTAATAAAATCTTAAAAGTGGCGCTGCTTTCATAGTTGAAATTACTGATTGTTTATTAAAACTAACCTCGCTCACTTCTATTTATGGAAATAACCACTGGTGCCAAGACTATCATTCACACTTTGATTGTTATGCAAATATATATGTTGGGTCTTAGCAAAATACATATATAAATATAACAAAGGACCACCAGAAATACAGCAATCCATCTCACAAAGGAAGCCTTATTTCACTATATATCCAAAATATCTAAATTTACTAAACAGGGCAATGCGGACAAACATTGTTGCTTTTAACTGAAATGTTAAGCCTTGTTAATATGAGACCAAAGTGACAAAGCGGTTTTAGAGTAATTAGTGTGTGCAGAAAAAAACAAAAATAGACTGCCCTTTGAAATTCTTCAGCAGCCAGGAATATCATGCTTTGAAACAAGGCTATCCAGGCAACACAAATGGCAAGCCTTACTTTAGGTTAAGATATATTTGGAAATGTAGGCCAACAGCAGTAAGAGGAAGGCTGTTGCCCACTCTCAGGTTTGGAAGTCAGCAAGTTTGGTTGATCTCATCGCAAATCAGGCTCAACACAAAATGCATGGCAAGTTTGCTTAACTTCTCAAATATTTCAGGTCTTTGAAGGTCTTCCTTTAGGTAAAGTGGTGTCATAGTGTGAGATTTAGGTTGGCTCAGGTTGTCAAGCAAGATCCTCACTGTCTCATGGAGTGTCTCACTGCCTCTTGCAAAGACTTCCTTGTCACGAGGAGTCTGACAACTTCCTCATTTTTCTTGGTCAGTCGTTTTCGAGCTTGGTCATGTGTCACCATAGTCATGTCCCATCCATTTACCTGAAAGAAGAAAAAAATAAAAATTAGCAAACCGATAAACCATCCTAATTCTTAATTACACGTTTAAGTAGGCTAAAGATGGTAGGTCTTTTATCAAATCTCGAATAGCATGGTGCCCTTATTATATCCAAACAACCGATATTCAAGAAGAAAACAACAAAAAAAAACAAGCATAACTACTATAAATGGATTGGGTAAGGAAGTATGTTCAGTCCACAAATATACAGTGGCAAGGGGAGATATCCCTGTATATATATCTAGCTTTAGTTTCTCCCATTTCATAATAAAGTTGAGAAATAGGTTTGTTATTCCAGAGCACACTGCATCATATTCAGAAATGCAGAGCAGAGATGGCCTAATTTACGGGTTAGGGCTAATTTTGTGTGTGTGTGTGTGTGTGTCTGTCATTGAGTGAGTCTGCTTGTGTCAGTGAGGGTGTCTGAATGAGTGTGTGGGTCAGTCAGTGTTGCGATGGCCGCGGCTGGACACATTCTGCTCTGCCTTCACAGGGTTTCAAGGAGTAGTGGAAGAATCCGCTTTGGCACAGGGTTCGGACGGCGCCATTGGGGGAACTCCAGAGTTGGATACGGGCAGCGGCAATGTGAGTGGAGTCTGCTTGTTGGTTGATATTAATTTTTTTCCTTGTTTTTAAACAGGGGCAGGGGTTTCGTAGAAAGGGGGAGGGGGCAGAGAGAGGGGCGACGACAGATTCAGAGAGAGGAGCGTGACGACTCGGCGACGAGAGGAGAGCGGGACGAAATTTACAGAGAAAGAGGGCGGCGACTACGGCGACAGATTTAGAGGGGAGAATTTACGGCGACACGAATTTACGCCAGAGAGAGAGAGGGGCGGCGAAGATATTTTTAGAGAGGGGGGGCTAGAGGGGCGGCGACAGATTTACCAGAGAGGGCGGCGGTAGATTTACAGAGAGGGGCGGCGACGAATTTACAGAGGGCGCGGAGATTTACGGAGGGCGGACGACAGATTTACGCAGAGGGGCGGCGACGAGATTCGCAGAAGGGGCGGCGAATGCAGATTTCGGAGAGGGGCGGCGGCAGATTTACGCGAGAGGGCGGCACAGATGGCAGATTGAGAGGGGGACTAGAGAGAGGGGCGGACTGAGTATTAGAGAGGGGCACTGAGGGGACTGACCGCACAGAGGGGGACGGACTGAGATTTCAGAGGGGGCGAGACGGACTGAGATTTAGCAGAGGGACGGACTGAGAGATTTAGCAGAGGGGCAGGACTGAGATTGCAGAGGGGGACGGACTGAGATTGCAGAGGGGACTGCTGAGAGGGGGCGCAGAGGGGCGACTGAGATTTAGGGGGAGGGGGCGGACTGGGGACCAGCGGAGAGATTTAGCAGAGGGGCGGACTGAGATTTAGCAGAGGGAGACGGACTGAGAGATTTACAGCAGGAGTTGCACTAGCAGAGGGGCGGACTGAGAGATTTGAAGAGGGGCGGAGAGATTGCTGAGGGGCGGACTGCAGAGGGCGGACTGAGATTTAGCAGAGGGGGGGACTGAGATTTAGCAGAGGGGACGGACTGAGATGAGCAGAGGGGGGCGGACTGAGATTTAGCAGAGGGGACGGACTGGACTGAGATTAGCAGGGGGGGACTGAGATTACGAAGCAGATGAAAGAGAGATTTGACAGAGGGGGACGGACTGAGATTTAGCAGAGGGGGGGACCTGAGAGGGGGACGGACTGAGGGGGGACTGAGATTTAGCAGAGAGGGGGGGACGGACTGAGATTTAGCAGAGGGGGGGACGGACTGAGAGATTTAGAGAGGGGGGGACTGAGATTTAGCAGAGGTGGGGGAGACTGAGAGATTTAGAGGGGGGGACTGAGATTTAGCAGAGGTGGGGGGACTGAGATTTAGCAGAGGTGGGGGGGGGACTGAGATTTAGTAGAGGGGGGACTGAGATTTAGTAGAGGGGGATGCTGGGATTTAGTAGAGGAGGGTGCTTTTTTTATATATCGTATTTTTCAAAATAAACCTACATTTCTCAGAAGATTAAGGGGTTTTTTTGCGGCCACATAAACTTAAACCTTTTTATTTGGCCCGTGCTAGCGTGAGTTTGACATGCTTGACTTAGGAGCACTGGTAGCATGACATTAGCAGAAGCAGTTGCACGTTTTTATTTTTAGATTTCATTTTCTATCCACTAGGTCTGTAGTGAGGTCTACGCATTACCTGCATTATTTTGTCCCCCATTTGAAGTCCAGCCACCTCTGCAGGTCCTCCTTCGCTTACTCTTGTGACATAGATGCCCTGCAATACAAGGTAAATTATTAAACATTCATCTCAAGCAGGTTTATAGTTTAACCTTAATGAACAGATATAACAAATCATTCCAGATCTTTAATAACCAGTGAATCACATCCCAGTCTAATATCAGTCTTCTAAATGCTTGAATTGTTATAATTATGATCACTTTCTATTCTGAAAATATTATTTCTTTTAATATAGAACATCCCTATGTTACCCCCAGAATGTCCATTTCACAAGAGGTCACACCTTATCTGTCTTGTCCTCTGAAAACGGGTTCTGGGCAGGATCTTGGTCAATGCCACCTCCGATGCTGAAACCAAGAATTAGGTTTTCCCCCTGGCAAAGTTTGTGGATTTCAACCCGTTGCTTAAAAAAAAATAAAAAAATAAAAAATCAGGATACATATACTAAGTTTTAAATGTTATTTGTAATATACCAATTATTTCTCTACTAAAGTTGAATTAGATAAAAAAATAAAATAAAAATACATTACTCTACAATGCAGCATATACAATTTTACTGGTTCCCTCAGTAGAAATTGAGTTTCAGTCTAGAGTATTTATTTTTCTGTTAAGTCTCACCGATAAGTCACCTCTTCTGTAAGTAACAAATAATATTAATCGCTAATTGTTGCTTGGACAGTGATCTTTCTAAAACAGAAAAAAAATGGAAATAAGGTAGGGTCTAGACTGCTTTCCCAAAAAGGGAAGGTGTATGAAGTAGCCGTTGGCCTCCATATATGGCTAGGAAGACTGAAGCATTGATGTGTATGAGATACAGAAAGGGAAGCGGACAATATTGTAAATTGCCCTAGAATGCAGAAAGACTAAACTCTGCCATAAACTCCGCTAAAAAGTGGAAGCTCTGCACAGTAATGCTGGTATGTAAGAAAAGCCTTTTGGTTATCTCTAATGACAAACTATGATAAGGAGTGAAGAACAGAGCATCGCTAGTACATTTCCTGCACGTGTCCATATGAGCACAATATTGTGATCATCGTTAGATTCTTTACACTTGTATAAGTAATGATTAAACCAGCATTAAGCCCAACGCACTATACAATTTTAGGATCAACTCTACTACTCAAACTTTTAAAGACTTGTTTTTTCAGATCGATGCATGGATAAAATTGTGATGGAGACATGGTATGCCTAAATGTTTAACCAAATTCTGTATACAGTGTAAAATTCCATACTATAAGAAAATAAAAATCGATAGGACACAGTTTTTCCCATATGAAATATGGATTTTCATTTTTTTTGTTTATTCTTTTTTAATAAGAAAGGAAAAGGAAAGTTATTTTGCGTGTCTCCTTTACGTGACAGTTAGGATATCTCCGTACCTTAAACTCCCAGGAACTGGTACAGACTTGGGAGTAAAACAACTGCTTGTCCCACTGCTCTATTTTACAGAAACTCTTATGGATCCTAGTGGATATATCCATAAGCCTTTGTGAACTTTGTAAACTGGAATCTATTGCAATAACTCTATATGCGATGCTGTGACATGCCCCAACTGGCTGGTCTGAGAGCAGGCAAGCAACCCAGCCTCTGTTATCACTGTGAATGTAATGTATCCAGGCAACAGCAGAACAGCACTCTGTGTCAGCATGCAACATCAAAATGGAATGATCTATGAATTGGGGGGATGGAAACTATCTACCGAGGATCTAGACAAGAATGTAGTGATTAGTTTCTCACTAAATTTAGAAGAACTGATAAAGGAAATGGATACGTTTTCAAATTTATTTTTTATTGGGGTTTAAAAGTTGCAATTCCCAGTTTAGCAAATAACTCCACAATATAATATAATATACTATGCTACACATTTATATTTAGGGATTTATCTATAAATTGTAGTAAACTGAAGCAAGAATTCCAAAGCGTGATCCAAGACAGATGAATTGAAATCCATCTGTTTTCCAAACTGGGCTAATCTGGCCGAAATTTAGCAAAAAATAAATAAATAAATCTAAAAGTAGAACTATTTGTATAAATCATGTTCGTTTCATCCCAATAGCTGGCAGAGCATCATGGGAAAAGTATTCCAGAACATCTGCAGTGCCAAAGGTTAGCCATTACTGGAATATATTAGAATACGTCTAAAATGTCACAAAGCTCCTTTATTCTTCTAGAAGATGAATATAAAAGGACTCTCGAGCTGTGGTGATAAGTACCATGACTTGGCTGAAGTAAGTCTTTGAATGCTATTTTTAGTTTGCCTACAGACTGAAGCCAGAATATTTGGATAATAGATAAGGAAGGGCTCTCTGGATTAAAAGCGGTGCCTGGAGTTCTAAAAGCGGTGCATGGAATGTTACATATAGTGCAAAAAGAAGCGATTTGGTGTAACAAATAAAAGAAAAACTAATTTATTCACACACAAACCTACACGTAGAATGGTCACTAGTGAGATTTGTGTACAAGCTCATAGTGGTTCCCTATAGCTTGTCTGTGTCATTTTCTTTTAAGTTACTTTTTAAATTCTCACTAGTGTATTTTTAAACTTACATGTCCTACCATGCAAAGCATGTAAACTACTTTAACATCTGCAGTGCCATGCAAAAGTTACATAGGCTGAAAAGAGACGTGTTTGTCAAGTTTAGACACACGTGTTTTTTCTGTTGATCAAAAAGAATGCAAAAAACCATCAGTTTGAAGTGCTTCCAATTTTGCATCAAACTAGGAAACAAATCCTTCTTTACCCCAGAATGCCAGTCAGATTTCGCCTTGGATCAAGAAGCTATGACCCACTAATTAGAAACGATATCCCTGCATATTATGTTTTTTATCCAGTTGCAGTTTAAACATCTGTACAGACTCGAATAAAACCACCTCTTCAGGCAGAGAATTCCACACCCTTGTTCTTGCTGTAAAAAAAACCCTTTCCTTTGCCTTAGACTAAATCTCATGTTTCCAAGTCTAAATGAGTGACCTTGTATTCTATGTCTAGTCCTGTTTATAAATAAGGTTCCAGCCAATGGTTTGTATATATTTGTATAATTTTATCATTTCCCTCTGAGTCACCATTTTTCCAAACTAAACAAGTTTAAATTAGTTTACCTTTCTTCATAACTAAAATATTCCATTCCTTTTATTATGGCACTTTTTCTAGTGTCATAATATCCTGATTTAGAACAGGTACCCAAAATTGCACAGCATTTTCAAGGTGTGGTCTTACCATTAAAGGGAAGCTCCAGTGCCAGGAAAACAATCCGTTTTCCTGGCACTGCAGGTCCCCTCTCCCTCCCATCCCCCAATCCCTGGTTGCTGAAGGGGTGAAAACCCCTTCAGTAACTTACCAGAGGCAGCAACATATCCCACGTCGCTGCTTCTTCCTCCGCCGCCGCTCCTCCTCCGTATTACGTCGGCCAGTGGGCAAAACTGATCCCACCCACCGGCCGGGGAGACCTAATGTGCATGCGCGGCAGCATTAGAGCTCCCCATAGGGGAATGCTTTCCTATGGGGAATTGAGTGACGCTGGAGATCCTCACACAGCGTGAGGACGTCCAGCAACGCTCTAGCACAGGTTTTCTGTGCTATGATGCAGGCAGTGCCCTCTAGTGGCTATCTAGTAGACAGCCACTAGAGGTGGAGTTAACCCTGCAAGGTAATTATTGCAGTTTAAAAAAAAAAAAACTACAATAATTAAACTTGCAGGGTTAAGAGTAGTGGGAGTTGGCACCCAGACCACTCCAATGGGCAGATGTGGTCTGGGTGCCTGGAGTGTCCCTTTAATTTATAAAGAAGCAAAACTATATTTTCATCCTGAGAATTAATGCCTATTTTTATACATGGCAATACCTTACGATCTTATAATCAACCTAACTTTATCATAGTTATTTTTTGACAATCCAATCTTTATTTGATTTCCAGGTTGTCTTTTCATAACAAAGCAAAAATACAGTTAACAGTGAGTTATAATTAGGCTACACGCCCCCAATAATCGTATATTAACATTGTAACAGCCCTCTCCCTCCATCTCCCCCCACCTCCTCCCTTGGACAGGTTGTTACGGACCCAGGACCCTTCACCCATGTGTTTACGTCGTTCAGGGCTTCTGTTGTATGCGTTTTGCTCTTTGTTGTGGGCCGCCTATAGTTTTTCGTCTCTTGCTATCCTGACTCGTGCGTTTTGGTTACGGTTCCCTGTCTTGTAGCTCAATAGTTGGTTTTAGGGCACGTAACTGCAGATGGCTTCACAGTGTGGGGGCTTTGGCTTGCCGTTTGATTGCGGCCGGTTTATCTTCTGGGCTTGTGTGTCGGATATGGGCGTGGGTCTAATCTTTGAGTGCGGACCACCGAAGTGCCGTGTTTGGCCTTTGGTGGTAGTTTCATGTTGACCATGGATCACTGGGTCGTTACAGGCTCGTCCCTACCGTTTGTGTTTCCCTCCCTTGTTATCTTAGCGGTCCCCTATGTTTACTAGGATATGGGTTGTGCTATCCCAAATGTGTGCTCCCTTACCTCCCCCCCTCTCTCTCCCATCCACTGCTTGTGTGTGGTGGTCAGTTATCCTCTGTTTGGCGGGGGTCTCATCTCTCCCGGATTTTGTTTGTGTTGCCGTGACCGGCCCTACCCCCTAGTTGTCTCAGGCCCATTGCCGCTTGCCTCAAGTCTGTATGGGTTGGGTCTCTTACTATCCTGTTATTCCCCCCCCCCCCGTTCTTGGGGTGAGTGTCCCAGTGTCGCTCTGGGTTTTGCTCGTTTTATCTATCTATCTATTAGTTGTTGGTTGGGTTGTGTTGTGTTAGGTGTGTTTTGCCTGAACTTTAATTTGTGCAGTCCATGTCCCCTGACTCAGGTTTTCCTCGTCTTTCAGGGGGTCCCGTGATGTGCGTCGGTTATCCTATCTGTGAGGTATTTTGAACGTGTCTTCTGTCGCGTGTTGAGGGGGAAATGGAACCAGAGTAAGGAGAAGAGGCTGCAGATGCACTCGGGTTTTCGTTGTCACGGCAGCCCAATGGGGTCACCTGCACCGTGGCACCCCAACTTTATCATAGTTAATAAAACATAATGGATAAAGTATCTATACCACTAAACTCAACCCAAAATACGGCTGCAGGCAGTTGGATCAAAACTGAGGGTTAATCAAAGGACTTTACACTTTGTATTGGTAATTCACAAGCTCCTGGTTAATTTCTGTGTCTCCATGGATTTATCAAAGTCTGTTTTATGCTCTGTATATAGGTTATAGTGCAAGGAGTTTCTCTGTCTTCCATCATCCTGATCCTTGTATAAAGAATCACAGCAGGTGTGCCGCCATGCCCTACTATGTAAAGGCAGCAGGGCCGTGGTGCCCTGGTTGTACGTCTTATATGTTGATTGCATTCAGTTTCTACATGCACTAAATGAGAACGTCAAACTCAAACATCCTATGTACCAAGTAATCATCCTGTTTTACCTATTGTACGGTGTTGCAGAATATTTTGGCACTGTAGAAATTATTTTAAGTAACTTGAATGGGTTCTCTTACAGCCCTCTGTGAGAGTGTGTGAACTGTAGCCGTGAGTAGCATTATCAATAAGAAATAAAAACTGTGCAAGCTAACAAAATCCAGCCTGCAGATACTTGTTCCAAAAGTAGTTTGTATTCACATTGTTCACAAAACTACATATCCCATAAATCTGTGATCAGCATATGCCCTGCACTTCCACTTAAAACAATGGAAGAGCAATGGCTGACTGACAACCACTATATTTCCTGGTTCCTGTAGAAAAAAACAAACATTTTTTTCTGTCTGGTTTGTCTGGAAAGCTTATTGAATTTAATGCCAGGCAATAATTTAAAGGGAAACTCCGCTGTCGGGAAAAAAAATAAAATCACTCTTTGTAGATATACCTCCAATGAAACATGTATGTAAGTATGCATTTTTTATTGAGGGTCTTTGGTCTGGAGCCTTTGCAAGTTCTTCCCCATTTCCCCAGGCCAGACTTTTAGTCAGTGCCGGGGAAATGACCAAAGGCTGTTCACTGAAAAGACTGATTTAAAACCATGTGCGCGGCAAGCCACAGAATGCAGGGACCAGCCAGTGATACAGAAGTAAAATTAGCCCTGTGACAGCCAAGTAGGCGTTTCTGAATTTTTTAAATTTTTTTTAAATTTTTTTTTATACAAGTGCTGCTTTCAAATAGAATTCTGCACTTTTGCAAACTGCTATTAAAATGAGCATATACTGACAAAGCACTGCAGAAAGCTGAAGTGCTTTAAATGTGTGGAGTGTTCATTTAAATACTTTGATGGAAAGGTTAGAGCTTTATACGCAGATACATAAATTGACTGTATAGTAATGCCAAGAAAGTCTATTGAAGTACACTCCAAACACCATAACCACTACAATGGTCTGTAGTTATTATAGTGCAAGGAATGCCATAGTGCTATCTCAAATACAAGTAGTCAAACTGTTTAGTAATTGTTTGACCCCTTACACCTACGGTCCCATTACCTGGGAGTCTCTGCTCCCTTTCTCCTCTCAGCTGGAAACTCTCAGCTCTGTGCGAAGACTGGCGTTGCAGTCAATGAGGTGGCACTGCCCTACAGAGTTCGACCAGGAGAGCTTATGGGAGCTTAAGGCAGCAGCCAAATACTCTTACTTTGGCATGATAGTAGGTGGGAAACCACCCAGCAGACCCCTGGTAAAAAAAAGTCAAACCATTACTAAATGGTTTGACTACTTCCATTGGAGGGGAGTGGGGTGCTCCTGTCACCATAACTACTACAGGGTCAGCTTTGAGTGACCCTTTAATGATAACATTGGTTTTGTCAAGAAGCATTAACTCCTTTGGACTCAATGACAATACATGCCATTTTCACAGACTTAGAAGAAATACAAGCAAAGCCTATATCAATGATTTGCCTTCAGCAACTCTATATCACCCACCTAATCAGAAGGACAGTCTACATCATGTTACACACAGGTGTAGGCAACCTTGAGCACGTTCGATATTATGGACTACATCTCCCCTGATGCTTTGCCAGCATTATGGCTGTAAGAACATTATAAGAAATGTAGTCCACAAAATCTGGTGTACCGAATAACGCCTACACCAGGTTAGGGTTTCAATGGGTCAGACTAACAGAATTGACATGGGGTAAGCAGAATTTTAGTAGTACTGTGCCAAAATAAGATCTTGAAGTCCTTTGGTGTGCTAGTCCTATTTTATTTTTTTGACCGCAGTGTGTATGTTACCGTATTGTGCTTGTGGTATTTAGGTGTGCTGCAGTTACTTTGTAGGGTTATATATGTGCATATGTGGGCTGTTCTACTATATATATTCATAAGTAGTTTGTGGTATTGCGTTTGATACATATGAATGTGGGCTGTGTATGGGGGCTGCTTGTGAAATTGTGTGTGGTTGATTGTCATATTGTGTGTTTGGTGGTCTGTATATGTGTGGGGCTGCATGTGAGAGGCTGCTTGTTTGGTCATGCGTGTGTATGTTGATTGTCAGTGGAGTGTTTGAGGAACTGCGTTTGTGTGTGGGCTGTTTGTATTAAATATATGAGGGGGAGGCTTATTCTGCAGCTCTCTGTATATCTAGCAGTGTGGTTGGCTTCCCAGTGGGGACCGGGCAGGCCAGGAGCAGTGATAGTTGCTGCAGGCTGCTCTACTCCAGTTTATCTTCCCATTCACAGGTTTTCTGAGATCACTTCCTCCAAGTGATGCAATATATAAATTGAGGATTGCCCCTCAACCTCTGCAATCACTGCTTAGTTTGAATTGGCAGATATCTGAAGTCCCACCGGGACTCCTAGTAGGCCAGAGTTTGGTTCTGGCACCCTTAAGTGCCGTGCAAAGACACCTCAAGTGCCATAGGTTGCTGACCCTTGAAACAGACCTTTAATAGTTCCTAACTGGAGAGAGTAAACATTTTCCTTTGTCAGTTTCCCTTTAAAAGCTACATGTCTGCTCTTTACTATAGCCATTTTCTATCTGTAGATAAAATCATATACACACAAAGGTGCGCTCAGATTAGTAAGCCTTCCTTAAACATTACACCAATATGAAAAGGGAAGGGCAGCCTGTAGTGCGAACCTTTGATCGCCTGACATGTGTACAGCACAAACATAACTGCACAAACTAAAAAAAAGCTGATTCCAAAAGCGTGAGTAGCATTGGCGGAACAGTATTGGCTTCTCTCTTGGGTAAGCACCCAAATACAGACGCCCATGCTATTTAATTAGGTCCTCAAATTGTTGGAGCAAATCATTCATCATGCCCCACATAAGTGCTCATAATAAGTTGCAGGAAGTGAATGTCACTACAGCAGCCAATGGAGACCCCCTATGGCATTGACAAAAGTCTTACTACAACGTGTTTTGCAAAATTACTATCATAAAAAACACGTGGCACTTGAAAAATGGGTACAGAGTTCATTTTACAGTTGAAGAATGGGTCACTGAGCTAGTGTCTTAACGTCATCTAGATCCCTTTAAAAAATTTTTTAAATGTTCAATTAGCTCTGTCATAATTTGTTCTTTTGAACATTTAATTAGGATACAATTTTTTTATGAAGTGCTCAAAAAGTCTGCTTTGGAACTTGAAATTTCCACTCAGTCAAAAGACATCACGAGATCAAGTGGGGACTACTTTGTCTTCTGATAAAGCTTCAAGTTGATAACATTTTTAAAAAAGGCAGAGCTTCAGTTGCCAAGTACTTTCAATTCCCACAGTCATCGAGAGTGCCGCACTGACATAGGCTACAGACAGAGGAAGACGATGCCGAAGCTGCAGTTGAAAACATTTGCAGGGGACTCAACCCCATGTCAATGCACCTCAAATGGCAAAATCACAACCAGGGTTTTTTTTTTTATAAAATACACAACGACCCCGAATATAGACCGTCACGCCGCTGCATATCATCGGAATATGACACATTGCACAGTGAAACAACATCTGTATAAGTAGAGGCCTAAGAAAAGATTTACACAGCATGACAGCAGCCAAGTGAATAATACACATGAACCAGGTTCACTTAACTGCCATTCATTATAGGAAACTCCACAGGTAAAATACACAATAAAGTACATTAGAAGTAAGGTGTCAGAATACGAATGATTTGACTGATCTACGAGCATAGCATGAAAATTATAATGAATAACAATTATCTATTGTACTAAAGAACACGTATCTTGAAATGATTATTTTAGAGATTTGCAGAACATGCTCAGTAAGAACACCCAGCAGTAAAAAAAATAAAAAAATTCAAATGCAATATCTTTGAGGACATTCTTAAGTAAAATACTAGTTTTCCCCAGGCAGTTCAGCAAATATTTCAAGACCTCACAAGCCACTGGCCTGGTTGACAGACTGAATCTATAGAACCTGGTTATGTTACACAAGTAATGGCCAACTAGCATTCCAGATGTTTTAAAACTACTCTCTCAGGAGTCAGGTGGACACAGCAGGTGTGGAGTGGGTCTAACAGTTCCGATGCCAGGTGATAAGTGTGTCTAAGGGGGGTTCCGATTGGGGGGTGGAGGGGTTAGAATTAAGATATCAGGTTCAGAGTGGATCTGTGTGTTTAAAGATGGTGGGTGTGGAGTGGATGGAGTCAGTACAGATGACGGGTGTGGATTGGGTCCCAGGTGTATAGATAATTGACAGGTGTGGATTGATTAGGGGTGTAGACAGCAGGTGTGAAGTGGGTTTGAGGTATCAGATGGCAGATGTGGAGTGGTTCGGGGGTATAAATGAAAGGTTTGGAGTGGATATGGGGGTACAGAGGACAGGTGTGGAGTTTGTTTGAGAGAGAGTGTGTGTGTGTATATATATAACGGTATGGATTGAGTGTCATAGTGAGGCGGCTCACTGTGTAGTTATATAGGGGGGCTAACTGTAGTTGCACAGGGAGACTCTGCAAAGGCGCTCACTGTGTAGTTATATAGGGGGCTGTGTATTATTTTAAGGTCTGTGTAGTGATATAGGGAAGATGTGCAGGGAGCTTACTGTGTAGTTACAGGAGATAGGTGGGAGGAGGGGGATCGACATAGGAGGCTGTTTAGCTATAAGATGGGTGCAGTATTACTTAGAGCTAGCAGTGGGGATAGTGGTGGTGATACGGGATAGTGTTGCCAGTGGGGATGGTAGTGCCAGTGGGGATGGATGGGGGTGGCGGCAGTGGGGGCGGCGGCAGTGGGGATGTTGGGGGTGGGGGTGGCAGTGGGGATGTTGGTGGCAGTGGGGATAGTGTGGATGTCCCCGGTGAGGTTACTGGTAAAGATTGGGTGGTGGCAGTGGGGGTGGTGGTGGCAGTGTGGATGCAGGATGTTGGTGTTGGCAGTGTGGATGTTCCCGGTGAGGTTACTGGTAAAGTTTGGGTGGTGGCAGTGGGGGTGTTGGCAGTGGGGGTGGTGGTGGAGATGCAGGGTGGATGTCCCCGGTGAGGTTACTGGTAAAGTTTGGGTGGTGGCAGTGCTGGTGGCAGTGTGGATGTCCCTGGTGAGGTTACTGGTAAAGTTTGGGTGGTGGCAGTGGGGGTGGTTGCAGTGTTGGTGGCAGTGTGGATGTCCCCGGTGAGGTTACTGGTAAAGTTTTTGTGGTGGCAGTGTGGATGTCCCCGGTGAGGTTACTGGTAAAGTTTGGGTAATGGCAGTGTGGATGGTGGTGGAGATGCAGGGTGGATGTCCCCGGTGAGGTTAGTGGTAAAGTTTGGGTGGTGGCAGTGTTGGCAGTGGGGATGGTGGTGGCAGTGGGGGTGGTGGCAGTGGGGATGGTGGTGGCAGTGTTGGTGGAAGGGTGGATGTTCCCGGTGAGGTTATTGGTAAAGTTTGTGTGGTGGCAGTGGGGATGGTGGTGGCAGTGTTGGCAGTGGGGGTGGTGGAGATGCAGGGTGGATGTTCCCGGTGAGGTTACTGGTAAAGTTTGGGTGGTGGCAGTGTGGATGGTGGTGACAGTGGGGGTGGTGGTGGTGGCAGTGTTGGTGTCAGTGTGGATGTTGGTGGTGGCAGTGGGGATGATGGTGGCAGTGTTGGCAGTGGGGATGGTGGTGGAGATGCAGGGTGGATGTCCCCGGTGAGGTTACTGGTAAAGTTTGGGTGGTGGCAGTGGGGATGGTGGTGGCAGTGTTGGCAGTGGGGGTGGTGGAGATGCAGGGTGGATGTTCCCGGTGAGGTTACTGGTAAAGTTTGGGTGGTGGCAGTGTGGATGGTGGTGACAGTGGGGGTGGTGGTGGTGGCAGTGGGGATGATGGTGGCAGTGTTGGCAGTGGGGATGGTGGTGGAGATGCAGGGTGGATGTCCCCGGTGAGGTTACTGGTAAAGTTTGGGTGGTGGCAGTGGGGATGGTGGTGGCAGTGTGGATGTCCCTGGTGAGGTTACTGGTAAAGTTTGGGTGGTGGTGGCAGTGGGGATGTTGGCAGTGGGGATGCAGGATGTTGGCAGGGGGGATGTCCCCGGTGAGGTTACTGGTAAAGTTTGTGTGGTGGCAGTGGTGGTGGCAGTGGGGATGTCCCCGGTGAGGTTACTGGTAAAGTTTGGGTGGTGGCAGTGTGGATGGTGGTGGTGGTGGCAGTGTGGATGTTGGTGGTGGCAGTGGGGATGATGGTGGCAGTGTTGGCCGTGGGGATGGTGGTGGAGATGCAGGGTGGATGTCCCCGGTGAGGTTACTGGTAAAGTTTAGGTGGTGGTGGCAGTGGGGATGCAGGATGTTGGTGTTGGCAGTGGGGATGTCCCCGGTGAGGTTACTGGTAAAGTTTGTGTGGTGGCAGTGGGGGTGTTGGCAGTGGTGGTGGCAGTGTTGGCAGTGGGGGTGGCAGCAGTGTTGGTGGCAGTGGGGATGTCCCCGGTGAGGTTACTTGTAAAGTTTGGGTGGTGGCAGTGTGAATGGTGGTGGCAGTGTGGGTGGTGGTGGCAGTGTGGATGTCCCCGGTGAGGTTACTAGTCAAGTTTGGGTGGTGGCAGTGGGGGTGGCAGTGGGGATGGTGTTGGCAGTGTGGATGTCCCTGGTGAGGTTACTAGTAAAGTTTGGGTGGTGGCAGTGGGGATGGTGTTGGCAGTGTGGATGTCCCCGGTGAGGTTACTAGTAAAGTTTGGGTGGTGGCAGTGGGGATGGTGTTGGCAGTGTGGATGTCCCCCGTGAGGTTACTAGTAAAGTTTGGGTGGTGGCAGTGGGGATGGTGTTGGCAGTGTGGATGTCCCCGGTGAGGTTACTGGTAAAGTTTGGATGGTGGCAGTGGGGATGTTGGTAGCAGTGGGGATGGTGGCAGTGTAGATGCAGGATGGTGGTGGCAGTGGGGATGGTGGTGGCAGGGTGGATGTCCCTGGTGAGGTTACTGGTAAAGTTTGGGTGGTGGCAGTGGGGGTGCAGGATGATAGTGGGGATGCAGGATGGTGGTGGTGGCAGTGGGGATGGTGGTGGTGGTGGCAATGGGGATGGTGGTGGAAGTGTGGATGTCCCCGGTGAGGTTACTGGTAAAGTTTGGGTGGTGGCAGTGTGGATGGTGGTGGTGGTGGGGTGGTGGCAGTGGGGTGTGTTTGGAGATGCATTGGATATCCCGGTGAGGGTTACTAGTAAAGTTTGTGGTGGCAGTGGGGGTGGTGGCAGTGTAGGATGTTGGCAGTGTGGATGTTCCCTGTGAGGTTACTGGTAAAGTTTGGGTGGTGGCAGTGTGGATGGTGGTGGTGGTGGCAGTGGGGATGTTGGTGGAGATGCAGTGTGGATATCCCCGGTGAGGTTACTGGTAAAGTTTGGGTGGTGGCAGTGGGGGTGGTGGCAGTGTAGGATGTTGGCAGTGTAGGATGTTACCGGTGAGGTTACTGGTAAAGTTTGGGTGGTGGCAGTGTGGATGGTGGTGGTGGTGGCAGTGTTAGCAGTGGGGATGTTGGTGGAGATGCAGTGTGGATATCCCCGGTGAGATTACTGGTAAAGTTTGGGTGTTGGCAGTGGGGATGGTGGTGGCAGTGTGGGTGGTGGCAGTGTAGGATGTTGGCAGTGTTGGTAGCAGTGGTGGCAGGGTGGATGTTCCCGGTGAGGTTACTGGTAAAGTTTGGGTGTTGGCAGTGGGGATGGTGGTGGCAGTATAGGATGTTGGCAGTGTTGGTAGCAGTGGTGGCAGGGTGGATGTCCCCGGTGAGGTTACTGGTAAAGTTTGGGTGGTGGCAGTGGGGATGGTGGTGGCAGTGTAGGATGTTGGCAGTGTTGGTAGCAGTGGTGGCAGGGTGGATGTTCCCGGTGAGGTTACTGGTAAAGTTTGGGTGTTGGCAGTGGGGATGGTGGTGGCAGTATAGGATGTTGGCAGTGTTGGTAGCAGTGGTGGCAGGGTGGATGTCCCCGGTGAGGTTACTGGTAAAGTTTGGGTGTTGGCAGTGGGGATGGTGGTGGTGGCAGTGGGGATGGTGGTGGCAGTGTAGGGTGTTGGTAGCAGTGGGGATGCAGTGTGGATGTCCCCGGCGAGGTTACTGGTAAAGTTTGGGTGGAGGCAGTGTTTGTGGCAGTGGGGGTGGTGGCAGTGTTGGTGGCAGTGGGGATGTTGGTGGAGATGCAGTGTGGATATCCCCGGTGAGGTTACTGGTAAAGTTTGGGTGTTGGCAGTGGGGATGGTGGTGGCAGTGTGGGTGGTGGCAGTGTAGGATGTTGGCAGTGTTGGTAGCAGTGGTGGCAGGGTGGATGTTCCCGGTGAGGTTACTGGTAAAGTTTGGGTGTTGGCAGTGGGGATGGTGGTGGCAGTGTAGGATGTTGGCAGTGTTGGTAGCAGTGGTGGCAGGGTGGATGTCCCCGGTGAGGTTACTGGTAAAGTTTGGGTGTTGGCAGTGTGGATGGTGGTGGTGGCAGTGGGGGTGGTGTCAGTGTAGGATATTGGCAGTGTTGGTAGCAGTGGTGGCAGGGTGGATGTTCCTGGTGAGGTTACTGGTAAAGTTTGGGTGTTGGCAGTGGGGATGGTGGTGGCAGTGTAGGATGTTGGCAGTGTTGGTAGCAGTGGTGGCAGGGTGGATGTCCCCGGTGAGGTTACTGGTAAAGTTTGGGTGTTGGCAGTGGGGATGGTGGTGGTGGCAGTGGGGATGGTGGTGGCAGGGTAGGGTGTTGGTAGCAGTGGGGATGCAGTGTGTATGTCCCCGGTGAGGTTACTGGTAAAGTTTGGGTGGTGGCAGTGTTTGTGGCAGTGGGGGTGGTGGCAGTGTTGGTGGCAGTGGGGGATGGTGGTGGCAGTGTGGATGTCCCTGGTGAGGTTACTGGTAAAGTTTGGGTGGTGGCAGTGTGGATGGTGGTGGCAGTGTGGATGTCCCCGGTGAGGTTACTGGTAAAGTTTGGGTGGTGGCAGTGTGGATGGTGGTGGCAGTGTGGATGTCCCTGGTGAGGTTACTGGTGGGGTTTGGGTGGTGGCAGTGTGGATGGTGGTGGCAGTGTGGATGTCCTGGTGAGGTTACCCGTAAAAGTTTGGGTGGTGGCCTTGGTGTGGATGGTGGTAGCAGTGTGGATGTTCCAGTGCTGAGGTTACTGAGTACAGGATTTGGGTGGTGGCAGTGTTTGTGGCAGTGGGGCTGGGTGCTTGAGTGTTGTAGCAGTGAAATTGGTGGCAGTGTTTGTGGCAGTGGGGGGGCAGTGTTGATGTTCCCGGTGAGGTTACTGGTAAAAGTTTGGGTGGTGGCAGTGGGGGTGGTGGCAGTGGGGGGATAGGTGTGGTGGCAGTGTGGATGTTCCCGGTGAGGTTACTGGTAAAGTTTGGGTGGTGCTTGGCAGTGTTTGTAGCAGTGGGGGTGGTGGTGGCAGTGTTGGTGGCAGTGGGGGATGGTGGTGGCAGTGTGGATGTTCCAGTGAGGTTACTGGTAAGAAGTTTGGGTGGTGGCAGTGTTTGTAGCAGTGGGGTGGGTAGCAGTGTTGGTGGCAGTGTGGATGGTGGTGGCAGTGTGGATGTGTCCCTGGGTGAGGTTACTGGTAAAGTTTGGGTGGTGGCAGTGTGGATGGTGGTGGCAGTGTGGATGTTCCCGGTGAGGTTACTGGTAAAGTTTGGGTGGTGGCAGTGTTTGTGGCAGTGGGGGTGGTGGCAGTGTTGGTGGCAGTGGGGGATGGTGGTGGCAGTGTGGATGTTCCCGGTGAGGTTACTGGTAAAGTTTGGGTGGTGGCAGTGGGGGTGGTGGCAGTGTTGGTGGCAGTGGGGGATGGTGGTGGCAGTGTGGATGTTCCCGGTGAGGTTACTGGTAAAGTTTGGGTGGTGGCAGTGTTGGTGGCAGTGTTGGTGGCAGTGTGGATGGTGGTGGCAGTGTGGATGTCCCCGGTGAGGTTACTGGTAAAGTTTGGGTGTTGGCAGTGTTGGTGGCAGTGTTGGTGGCAGTGGGGGATGGTGGTGGCAGTGTGGATATTCCCGGTGAGGTTACTGGTAAAGTTTGGGTGTTGGCAGTGTTGGTGGCAGTGTTGGTGGCAGTGGGGGATGGTGGTGGCAGTGTGGATGTTCCCGGTGAGGTTACTGGTAAAGTTTGGGTGGTGGCAGTGTTGGTGGCAGTGTGGATGGTGGTGGCAGTGTGGATGTCCCCGGTGAGGTTACTGGTAAAGTTTGGGTGTTGGCAGTGGGGATGGTGGTGGCAGTGTAGGGTGTTGGTAGCAGTGGGGATGCAGTGTGGATGTTCCCGGTGAGGTTACTGGTAAAGTTTGGGTGGTGGTTGAAGGTTCGGTCACTCAGTGTACCCCCCTCCCCCAGCTATAACCCATTCCCCAGCTCACCACCACCGCGGTGACCGGCTGTCCCGGGATGAAAGACATGGCTCCAGCCGCTCCGCTAACCCGAACACCCGCCGCACAGGACAAAGCCAGCTCGGGCCCCGGCCACGCCCCTCACCATAACACTAACAGCACAAACCACGCCCCTCCACAGCCACACCCACTTCTTAGGCGAGAGAAAAAATGTCTGAGCCCCACCCATAGTCCGAAACACGCTCAGTCCCTCCTCCTCACTGCCCTACCCACTCAAACCACGCCCTCTCATAACGCCTCATCCAATAGCAATCGCCGTTCAGTGCTAGCTATGAGCAGGCAGTACCGCAGGCTATGATTGGCGGAATATACTTCCCTTGATGCTCATTATGTAGGATTGCTGAGCATCACGGGAAATGTAGTCCAAAATGGAGATTAGAGGCTATTTTCAAGCACTTCTTCCTGAGGGAAATGAAGGGGGGGTGAAAGTTCATTTCCGGTTAATTTTCCAAGATGGCGGAAAGCCTAGTGTAGACAGTGCTGCCAGTCTACAGAGCGGATAACGTGAGCAGGCGGATTGCGGAGCCTGGGATTAGCAGGATCAGAGCCCCAGGTAAAGCATACCCATTACTGCCCACCTGGGCTGTTTGTCAATATTGGCACCTTTCAACAAGCATAGCTTTATTGACAATATTGTCACAAAGGGCTGCTGGTTCTGTTAGCCCAGTGACAGCCAGGGTTCTGGTCCCTGCTGGTTGGAAGGAGGGTTGGGATCTATTAATGTCATCATCTTGGGCAGGGGTCCTCAAACTCCGGGCCCCCACATGTTGCTGAACTACAACTCCCATGATTCTCTGGCTATCTATGTCATTCAAAGAATCATGGGAGTTGTAGTTCAGCAACATCTGGAGGGCCACCGTGTGAGGACCCCTGATCTTGGGTCTCAAAGCCATGTAGGGTGGAGAATGTATCACTTACTTGTTTTTAAATGTCACAATGTATTTCATGTTTTACATGTTTAATCAGACAGCCCCGCTTGGTCATTTTAATTTTGGGTTTATTAGGGGTTTGATTTTACATCACTTCCAATAGGCACCAGAAAAATCTGCATGTGTGTAGTTTTTTATTTTTTTTTTTATTTTATTTTTTTCCTGTGTACAGAATGAAAGACAACGAAAAATACATTTTTCTTTTTGTTTAGGTGCATTGCTAACCCCCCATTCACAAAGCATGGTAGGGTTAAGAGTCTGGTTTTATTCAAAATGAATATGTCATTAGTAGTAATATATGAAATAGCTAGTAACCCGTTGGCTTACTGTGATGTGTGTGTGTGTGTATATTAGGCTATGAGGACACCGCAAGCATCTTAAGCATTACAGTGTGTAGACTTGTAGTGGTTATGGTGCAAGGACTCTGTAGGTGAAATTCCATTGTACCAAAAGGACACTCTCTTAGCATTTTTCCAGAGCTGATGCAGATACAGATTATCGGTCGCCTTTCTGGGTGATTGCCGTTTATTCTGTACATGTACAATTTTGGGATTTAACTATAACTAGGACAATTACGAGAAAATTTACAGGAATGATAGGTTGAAGAGGGCCCTGCTCAAACGAGCTTACAGTCTATAGGAGTGTGATTGCTGTCGGCTGTTTTACTCCTATCATTCTCAGTCAGCCAGCCCAGTACATTAAAGTAGATTATTCACTGTCTCATCTCCTTGCTTTCTGCTGAGCTTTACATGCGGTAACTCACAGTAAGGGGTGATGTGAGGTCACAGCGTATGGCTTCACTGGCTGGCTGCTGGAGTTTCCACATGTGGATGGGAGGGGTGAGTAAGTTATCTGGTCAAATATATGCGGAATATCGGGTCTAATAATCGGCAGAACCGATAATCTGACTATCCTTCGTACAAATTACTTTGATTTGGCCTCGCCAAACAGTTATTAACACAGATTTCTGTATTGTTTCTACAGGACCAAAAAGTTTAATAGGAGCAGAGTCACTTAGAGAAGTTGATATCATATGACTATTGGTGCTAGGGCAGTCTCCATTTTTAGTTAAACCGCTTGAAAATAGTTTGACAAAGCAATAGCACATGCTACCTACCTTAGAGTCCTTGCATAGTTACTACAATAAGCTGCAACACTTATGGTGCTTGGAGTGTCTAGTGAAAAGTTGCACCCCTACCACTGAAACAGGTAAAACAAATTAAGAATTTTGCATTATTGCAAATTGCAATATACTTGAGCTTTTTGAGTTTCCTTTCATTGGTGAAAGTAGCTTGCAGAGTTTTCAATCAAGCAGCACAGAACACTTAATTCCAGATTTACCAGTGTTCTCTTGTCCCTGTCTCTCCTTCTTGTAAAGTGACAGCTGATCTGCAGATATGCGTGAGCTATAGCTTTTCCGGTACTAAACCAAAGCTCGGGTTACTAAATGGTGGATCAGGCTGTATATAAGCTGAGAGTAGAGGTATGACTTCTATCCATTTTAATTGAGCAGTTCTAATCACCCTGTGTGATGATTGGAACTACTCTTTGGGACAAAACTACCAGTGCTTATCCCATAATATCCTTGTTGTGCAGTGGATTTTTGTATAATGTCTATCACCATAGAACAAGATGGAGCAAGCATCTTATCCTCTGGGGGGAGGGGGGTCTCAATTTTACTTTGATAATTACATTAGTTAGTGGTAAAGGTAATTAAGAAAAAAGGGTGGGATATATTAGGCAGTGAGTGAATAGTCAGTTCTTGAATTTCATGTGTTGGAAGCAAAATAAAAATGGGCAAGATCTGAGTGACTTTCACAAGGGCCAAATAAAGATGGCTAGACGACTGTGTCAGAGCGTCTCCAAAACCGCGTGTCTTGTGGGTTGTTAATGATATGCAGTGGTTAGTACCTACCAAAAGTGGTGAAAAGAAGGACAGCCAGTGTCAGGATCATTTGCACCCAGGGCTCATTGAAACATTTGAGAAGGAAAGGCTAGTCCGTCTGGTTTGATCAAACAGAAGAGCTACAGTTGCTTTAAATTGCTGAAAAACGTAATGCTGTCCATGATAGAAAGATGTAGAGCATCCCAGTTTGCTGCTTTTGGGGTTGCGTAGCCGCAGACCGGTCAGAGTGCCCATAATGACCCCTGTACACTACGGAAAGTGCCTACAATATGGATGTGAGCATTTGCACTGAACCATGGAGCAATGGAAGAAGGTTGCCTGTTTTTGAGTCACGATTTCTTTTATTTATGGCAATAGTGGTCCCTGATGTTAATGCTCCCTGCTACACTGCAAAAAAATGTTTGGGAATAGTTTGAGGAACATGACAAAGAGTTCAAGGTGTTGCCTTGGTCTCCAAATTCCCCAGATCTCAATCCAGCTGACCATCTGTTGGAACAACAAATCCGATTCATGGAGGCTCAACCTCACAACTTGCAGGACTTCTGGTGAACCTGCAAACTGTAGAGATTTCTATCAAAGTAATGGTCTATTTTGGTTTTATAATTTAAATTGAAGTAAATGTTCTGCTTTTTTAATGCTATATATAATTATAAAAATGAATCTGCACCAGCCTATGATGTTATTTAAAGGTAAAATTCATCAACTAAACAAAAAAAATTTGGAATATTTTCAAATAAAACGCTACAGCTTTTCTAACTTTGTAAACGGACAGGGGAATTGAGACACATGAGGGGGCGGGTGGCTTGGGGAAATGAGACACGTGGGGGGGGCTGGGTGAAATGAGACACGTGGAAGGTTCTGTTTAATACTCCAATAAATTTTAACATGAGGCTCTTTGACATAAAGTTTGACAACCCTGACATATAAAGTGCATTTGGTGATTTGGACTTTACATTCCATTGAATTGTAGATACAATTAATTCATTATACGTTTTCTTCGCTTTTCCAATATTAACAGAACTTTTTTTTTATATTGTAGAGTTGTATCTAAAGAACACAGAATGGCAGCAATGGCTGCAGTGACCATGAAGAGAGAGGGCCCTCAGTTTATCAGCGAAGTTGCAGTGAGAGGGAATGCTGCAGTCCTTGACTATTGCCGAACATCTGTATCTGCCCTGTCTGGGGCCACAGCTGGGATCCTTGGCTTAACCGGCCTATATGGCTTCATCTTTTATTTCCTGGCTTCATTCCTACTTTCCTTGCTCTTGGTATTAAAATCTGGTAGACGGTGGAGCAAATATTTTAAATCAAGGAGGCCATTTTTCACAGGGGGTCTTATCGGAGGCCTGTTCACATATGTCCTATTTTGGACCTTTCTCTATGGCATGGTGCACGTCTACTGAATCTACCATCATCGTGGCACAGTCCCTTGGAAATACACTTTTTAATGGAATTGGAGAACTCCTACCCCACGGTTCATTTGAAGTTATAACTAGTTTTTTAAATTAAAGTAAAATATTGCTTGGTCTCTGCTAGTAACTTATATTGTTCACATCCCTGTTATGATTTCTTTAATTAAATACATTCTAACCCTCTAGATGTCTTGTATCTTGTCATTTATAATTCTCGATCGATGTTGGAAGCATTCTAAAATACTGATCGGAGTGTGAGGAGAAGGTCGTTGTAACAAACATACCGGTTGATTGCTCTCTTAATTTATACATATTCAGTTGTGTTTATCTCCATATTCTGAATATATCAAATCCAGTATAACTGAATATTTCAAATCCATTGTTCCATCTGTCTTGGTTGCATTGTCATTTTAAAAAAGAATACAAATTGGTTATATGTGTAGATCATTCAAGATATTTTTTAGATAGTGGGTGTCAAAAAGGAGTGCATTCTCTATGTGCAAACCCTTTTCTTATTTATTTTGTTATTGGGGTGGAGGCTGGTTAATTTTCAAGTGTTTTATTTTATGTTTGTGATGTTATTGGTACCAAGAATTATGTTTTTATTTATTTGTCAATAATACATATTCCTGACCCTGTGCAAGGAATCATTATTCGTTCTAGAGTGACCCACTAGTTTTTCTAGTTTACCTAAATAATTTGCCATTTGGCTTATCCCTCCTGGAACATAAACCCTGTTACATATCTTGGTATCATCAGCAAAAATACATACCTTACCATCAGGACCTTCTGCAATATCTCTAGTAAAAACATTTAAGAGAATGGGTGACAAGCCCAAGCTTCTAATATACTCCATTGACTACAACCCTCTGTTGCCTGTCACTCAGCCACTGCCTTACCCATTCAACAATATTGGAATCTAAACTTAAAGATTGCAGTTTATTGATAAGCCTTCTATGTGCAACAGTGCCAAAGGCCTTACTGAAATCTAGGTAAGCAATGTCTACTGCACCACCCTGATCTATTATTTTAGTTACCAATCAAAAAAAAAAAATCAATAAGATTAGTTTGGCATGATCTCCCTGAAGTAAACCCATGTTGTCTCTGATCTTGAAATCCATGTGTTTTTAGATGTTCAACAATCCTATCCTTTAACATGGTTTCCATCACTTTCCCCACTACTGAAGTAAGGCTTACTGACCTATAGTTGCCCGACTCCTGCCTACTACCTTTCTTGTGAATGGGCACAACATTTGCTAACTTTCAATCTTCTGGGACTACTCCTCCTTTTTTATTTTATTTTTTTACATCTTTGGGTGTATGCTATCAGGTCCCATTGACTTATTTGTCTTTACTTTTGACAGTGGAAATAGAACCTCTTCCTCTGTAAACGCACATATAACATATGACTCATTTGTTCTTTTTCCTAAATGAGGCCCCTTTCCTTCATCTCATCTGTAAATACAGAACAAAAATATTAATTGAGGAAGTCAGCTAGACCGTTTATCCTCTTCTACTTACCTTCCTTTTTTTATTTTTAATCGAAATACTCTGTCTCTTACTATTCATATTTAAATTTTAAATGCCCATTTCTTGGTTTATATTCCCACGAAGACACCTTGGTTTCAAATGGTTTATTTTATATGTATTCCCCTATGACACATACTGAGATGTGTATATTTCTAATATTTGTTTGAAGATATTCCATTTGTCCTGAGTGGGGTTTTTTTTTTTTCACTAAAGAGATGCAGTTAAAACGAAGAACTTGAAGTGGCATAGTCATATTATTTCTTATACTAATGTCCCACATTATTGTTTTCTAATGAAGTGTGAACACTGTAGGTAAAGTTGCTAGGAACAGGAGCCAGATTTACCACCAAAATCTCCAGGTACATTATTAATTGGAATGCAATTCCCTTTAGAGAGGACTGAAATGCAGCACCTGAGTGTATGTTCTATATTAGTAGTTATATAAAAATACACTTGATCTAGCCAGTTTGACTATAATTATTAACTAACAATAAACCTAGCTTGCCACATTTTTATAGTTTGGTTCATTTAGCCTGAAATGTGAAGTTTATTTTGACGTACCACCAATTTTCCTCCCTGAAACCTTTCTTTGCTTTGCTTCTGTCTCCTCCTGCAGTGTTTGGGAAAACCAGGATTACCAGTGTTTTAATTGTAGAAAAGAGGGCGGTTTTGACTGATTTCTGCTTTGTGAATTTTAACCCCGTAAGGACCCATGGCGGAATTATTCCGCCGTGCGGTATTTTACCAGCTGGGACCATTTCACTGCTGGTAACTGTGAAACCGAGGTATCAATTTATACCTGTTCCCCTCTGCCACCTGGGGCCAGAACTAGCGGCCCCAGACTGACCAATGCTCTGTTTACAGCGCTCAAAGTGAGCTTGGCAAACAGGCATTTAAATAGGGATGCTACAATACAATGTGAGCAGGGTTAAATCGCCAGGCTGTATTCAGCTCTGAAAGTCTGCGCTGCATACACCCCTCTCACTAAGAATGCCATGGCTGAGCAATCATTCTCTGCCATAGAGAATTTTTCCTGTGAAAATGGTGGTTGGGAGATCAAGAGGGTCTGGACAGACAATGAAGGCTCTGCCCCCATGCCTCAATGCCATTTTGATTGGTGCCCATGCTTTGCCACTTTGTCAGGAACGATGGCAAGGCATTGGGCATACTCTTTTCAGTTTAACAGGTATCTGCCTGTCATACTGGAAATAGCCAGTAGATGGCCACAACATACAACTTTAAGCTTTGAATTGCTTTTGCTAGTACTGGTATTAGTAGAGGGGAAACCCTAAGGGTTAGGATTAGATTAAGATTAGGTTTAGAATTAATTTTAGGATTCGGTTTCACATTAAAGTTAAAGGGCCAGCACTGGAATTCCTCTGCTGGCATCTGTAATAGGAATCTTTCCAACACTAGTGCTAGGGTTTGGATTGAGGTTACATATATGATTGGGGTAAGGATTTGCAGTTAGGATTTGATTTCGAGTTATGGTTATACTTTAGGATGAGGGATAGGATTAAGACTTATTTTTGCAACAGATAACCTATGTTATATACCTACGCGTTGTTGTACTCGGGAGATGTTGCTGAGTACAGTTAATTTATTAACCATTAAGAATTTAGGTTATATATTCAGACTTTTTTTTTTTTTTTTAAAGAAAAACTTGACAATGGTATGCAAAGGGGGTCGTTCTGTACTCAAAAGGTAGGATGATCAGCCGCAACATTAAAACTACATGCCTAACATTGTGTAGATCCCGCTCATGCTGTCAAAACAGCTCTGATGTGTCGAGGAATGAACTCCAAAGACCTCTGAACGTGTCTGGTGGGATTCCTATCATGACCAGCATGACGTTTTTCAGCAATTTGAACTTCAGTAACTCTTCTGTGTGATCAGCCCAGGCTAGCCATGTACCTCAATAAGTCTTTGGCACCCATCACCTTGATGCTGGTTCACTGGTTGTTCTTCCTTGCACCACTTTTGGTAGGTACTAACCACTGCATACTGGGAACATCCCACAAAACCTGCATTTTTGGAGATGCTCTGACCCAGTTGTCTAACCATCAGTGGTGTACACACAACCCATGGGGCCCCGATGTGAAAACTGATCCGTGCCCACCCACCCCCCCCGCACGCTTACTCTGCACAGGCTGGGGCCGCAAAATATGGCGGTGGGCACCTGGTCGCAGGGCTGTGACCCCGCGACTGCGGTATGTACGCCAGTGCATGCAGATACACATACACTTAAAGGACCACTACAGACACCCAGATCACATCCGCTCAATGAAGTGGTCTGGGTGCCAGGTCCCTCTAGTTTTAACCCTGCAGCTGAAAACATTCAGAGAAACTGCTATGTTTCACTAAGGGTTAATCCAGCCTCTGGTGGCTGTCTCATTGACAGCCACTAGAGGAGCTTCCGCGATTCTCACTGTGAAAATCACAGTGAGAAGACGCTGAACGTCCATAAGAAAGCACTGAGTAATGCTTTCCTATGGGCGGTTTGAATGCGCGTGCGGCTCTTGCCACGCATGCGCATTCGGAGCTGAGAGGCGCATCAGGGCGGAGACTCCCTTGGCGCTGGGGATCTCTCCGCCCTGATCCGCCTCTCAGCTCCGAATGCGCATGTGTGGCAAGAGCTTAAGACACACATACACACACTCACTCACAAAACACACACACTCACTAACAGACGCACACACACACACACTCTAACACACATATACACACTCTAACACACACACACACACACACACTTTTTTTTTTTTAATTTAATCCCCCAGCCTCCCTACCTTTGGGAGAGCTGAGGGGATTCCCTGTGGTCCAGTGGTGTCACCCGGTGGGCTGGTGTGCGAGGGAGCACTGTCCCCTGAGTGCTTCCTCTTCAGCTCCCTCGCATGCTGCGTACTGAAGCCGGAGCCGGAAGATGATGTCATATTCCGGCTCCGGTATCAGTGCGATGCGCGAGGGAGCTGAAGAGGAAGCACTCAGGGGAGAGTGCTTCCTCGCCCGCCGGGTGACACCAGGGCCAGCCTTGGGGGCCCCTGAGGTGACCGGCTGCTGGGCCCCCCAGGAGAAGAGGCTGGCCACACTGGCATGCATATCGGGTCGCAGGGCAGCCGCGACCCCGGTATGTATGCCACTGCTAACCATCACTATTTGTCCCCTGTCAAAGTCACTCAACTTTTCACTTGCCCATTTTTTCTGTTTCTAAGTTCCAACACATGAAATTCAAGAACTGACTGCCTAATATATCCCACCCCCTGACAGGTCACCTGATCAGCGTTTGAATGGTAAAAATCTGAAGAAAATTAAACACAATTTTACTGCAATATTTGGTTAGCCATTGGCTGTAATGTCTATTATGACTACAGACAAACAGGGGAGCGGAGCTAACTGGTGACCTTATCAGATCCATGGTGCTCTAGCTCTGGCAAAACACTGCAAGAAAAGCACTAATTGAACAACTCAGAGCAAATTACAAAGGCACTGAAAACAAGCAATAGCCTCCAGAAGCTATGGGGAAACACACGCAAGACCCGACAACAACCAGTTTCTCTCCCAAGCCAGCAGGTCCAAAATGGCAGCCCTACTGCCTGACTGCGCGCAGGAATCCCTGTCAGCATCAGAGGATGAGAGATTGGGTTTCCCAGTGACACCGAATCCCTTCAGCAGAAGCAGGGATATGCCTCCTAAACACACAGAACCCACCCTGGCTACCAGATCGGATCTCTCCAATTTGGTCTCAGACCTCAAGGCCTTCTTCACATCGGAGCTGTCAGGATCTTACCTGGTGTGGAGTGCCGACATACAGAGTTATATGCTCACCCTTGCAAATAAACACCGATCA